ATGGTCCTAATAGTTAGGTCTATCAAGAGGTCGATAGACAGGTACTTTTATGTTAATTTTGATTTTTCGTATTTCGTGAACTTTTTAAATCGATTTGAAACGTTTTTACGCACAATTACAAAATTCGTTTATCTAAAGATAATGCCATGTAAAAAATAATTTTTAATAATTATTTATTATTTTTATTACTTTATTTATTAATAATAATAAAAAAATTGAATTGTAAGGTATACAAATTTTTACATCGTTTTAAAAAATGCAATTTTATAAGGCAAAATGAAAAATAGGTTGAATAATTGCTAAAAAAATCAAATATTAAGCATTTTATTTTTTTAATGGAGAAACGTTAGTGGAGAATAGGACTTATTCGTTTGGGGCAACCGTGGATATTCGCCATACAATTATTGATGCCAATGGTGCTTAAATAATTTTGGTATAGGCATTACTTGTGTTGTGTTAATAGGTACTGTTTTAATGAATATCCAATATATAAATAAATTAAATTTAATATTTGTTCCAAGCTACCTAATACAGGGTTTTTACGGTCTCAGAAAGACTTCTTAATTGAGGTAGAAGTTAATTAACCACAATCAATAGATCGTGAGTTGACCATGAACTTATAGCACTATGACAAATAAATATAGTTCACATTAATTTTGATAGGATGGAATTCTAAAAATGTGTTTTGCTTGATGTGTTTGCAATGTAAAATCATCGGGAAGGACGAAAAATAAATAAAAAATGAAATAATTATTTAAGCTTTATCTATTCCTTATTATCTATTTTAGCTTTATTGCTCTTATTAAAAAATACTAAATGTATTGATAAATAAATATAATATATAATAATGTATTAAGGCAAAACTTAACCATATAAGATATTTAACACAAATTACTAAAAAATATATAACATTCATTAAAACTAATTTTAATATAGGCATTACTGATTAGTACTCTTTATATAATAAAATCTATAAACTTTGAAAAATATAATTTAAAAAACAATCTGCTTAATTACACAAAAAATCAGGAAAAGGCCGTCTTCATGAGAAATAAATCAATATTCATGTTATTTCAATTATGTTAATTTTAAATTTTTCGTTAAAGATGGCAAAGTTTTTACATAATTTAAATAGTGTAGAGTGTGATTTTATTCTCAAATACTTTATGAAATTCCAATTTAAAAAAGATATTAAACGTTAAATTTTTAAGGAAATAAAAAAAACACGTCATTTCTTAGAATTTTCCAGAATTTGAGCAATTATGATAATTAGATTCAGCAATTAAAACCGAGTAGGATTCACACGTTATTAATCAGTCTATTTAAACCTTATTTTTATTAAAAGAACATTAATGTTAAAGTTAAAAAAAAATAGTGTGATCTGTAATGGAAATGTACTTATGACTAAATTAAATAAGTATTATAACACTTATGATAACTATAAAATAAAATTATGCCCATTAAAAAATAATTCTAACAACATCTATAAAATTACATCGGTTTATAATAACTGAAATAAACAAAAATAAAAGTAAAAATTAATTTTAAAATGTTAAGACGTACAGTTAAAAACATACCATTTGATTTGACTAGTTGAAAGTTTGAAAATCGAATATTTTATTGTAAAAATTTTGCCATCTGAATAAAGCAGTTAAAAGGTGAGATTATTATGAATTAGTTATTCGTGAAAATATTAAAACAAATATAAAAAAAATTTACAGCACATTAGCCTCTATAAGCACATCTTTTGGTGTTTCTTGTAAGTTGCAAATTGCAGCAATAGTATTATATAATTTGATTAATTATAGTCAATAAGAAGCCAAAGTTATGTATTAATTAATAATATTAGATGTAGATGAGCCATCAATCAATCAATCTTCTTAAATTAAACAGCATGAGTGTTTAGTTCTTCTTGAAGCAGAAACTGTGTGATTTCGCTGTTGTTTCCAATGTTAAGCTGCTGTCACCGATATAAGTTTCACTTCAACACAACCAGAGATAAGAATTAGCAAAAGCTTCAACGATAAAAAGCATTAGAGAATTATTTATGAGTATCTATGTTTCAATTTGTGTTTTGTTACATAAATAGCTTTAATTTATTAAAGTTATGTAATTATTTTAATATTTAGCATAAAAAGCTTTAAAATATAAAGTACATTTAAGATGTTTGCTTTGAAATAAACTCGATCAATGTTTTATTCTTTCAAAATAAAGCTATATGCGAGATGGGCGATTTTCTTAGCCACTTTGTTGGTAATTCTAAATTTTACACCATTGAAATTTAGGAACATCGATCAAATTAATTATTTCAAGCAAACTCTTTATTTCATAGATTGGTGCATAGATTCTGTCGGTCAAAAGATATTGTGCAAAGTTTCTGCGATATTAGTAAGATGACATTTTTTTTTCCTTTTTATATTGAGTATAAAGTATCGAAATTTTGCAAATAAATTTGTTATCTTTTAATTCTAGTTTGTAATTAATATAAACTATCTAGTGAATAATTAAGATAAACGTACGGAAAATTCGTATTTAATTTAAATTTATGATGTAACGCATGACAACAAACAATTTGTAAAAAAGGCGCAACTTTTAAGATCCAGTTATGGTGAAAAGAAGAAAAAAAGTATTTTGTACGTGGGTTTAGACAATAAGTTTTTGTGACTAAGTTGGTTCTAACGCTTTCAGTATGAAATCTAATTTTAAAAAAGGGTGTGAAGAACTGTGAACTTCTTACGATAATACTACACGGAGAGAAAAATTCCGACAAATTTACCGTATTGCATGGTAAAGAAATCTCTGATAAAGAAAATAAAACTTAATTATGGTAATTAAACCAAAATATGCGGTATTTCACCCATTCATTCGGTAGTTTTTCATTCATATGGTAATTATTTTACTGGAAATTTTGACTTATAAATTATAGCTCTTATTACAATACATTTAGTAAAAATACAAAACTGAAAAGCCGTATGAATGGTTTTCATGCCATGGTCTAAAGTATTATGATAAAATTAATCAGTTTTGCCACATTTTCAAAATTTTAATGCAGATTATAAAACAATATTTTATTGTTAATTTTACCAAAATCATTACCAAAGCGCTTCGGTTAAAATTACAGCGCTTTTCAGTTTCCTCATAGAGCCAGAAACATGGTAAATTTTACCATATTCTGGTAGTTATGACCATACTTTTTCTCACATTGTAAAAAGAACTATACAAGATAATGAGGATACATGAATACGAAATTTGAAACTCAAACGCATAAAGTTTAAAAGTAAAAATTTATACTGTGTTAGAGGTTAACCAACTCGAAAACTGAGCACTAAAAGATTTTTAAGAAAAGTTAAGCATTGTTTTTTTAGGAATAGTTATTTGAGGCAATGCGACAAAATGTATACACCAATCTATTGATTTGAGAGTATTCAATTACATTACTGAAAAAAAAAATTAATTTTCAATAATTTTATCAACACGTGAAATACCATTCAAAAAGTAATGAAATCTTTAAGCATAATTGAAGAGTTTAGTGAAAGAAGAAGGAAAATTTGCATTGCAAAAAATTTTGAATTTCTGTAATTCATTCTCCATTGTGACTGTATGTATAGCATATAAACTCTAATCTTCTGTTTTTAGAAAAAGAAATCAGATTTATGATATTTCTACGATTACTGAAGCTTTTTTTAGAGTCACTAAAATTTCACGTAAGCTCTTCAATTATGTTTTTTTCACTGCTAATGCAACTGCATTATTATAGAGGGTGTTCCGCAGTGGCCGCTTTTAATATATACTTTTATTAAACCTTGTTAAAAACGGAAGTAAAAGGTGTATGAATAAAAATGGTATTAAAATCTAACAAAAAACCACAGAGTAAAGCGGAAAACATCAAAACCTGTTTGATTACGGGAGGAAACAAAAATGAGTTGAAATGCAAAAACACCTCAAAATCTCCGGAGACAATCAAACAGGTTTTATGCTTTCCTTCTCACCATTCTCATTAGTTATTTGACAAATTTCAACAGCGATTTTGTTTTTCTTTTCTCCCTTAAATATTAGTGCGTGGTCTCTAAATATGTATACTTTAATGGCTTTGTGTTTAACCATTTCATGCAGACGGTGTTCGCTTTATACCTTTTTTTCTGATTCTCTAATTACAAGCAAAAATATATTTTAGTATTCATAATTATAAAAAACAGTTAAATAGTTACTAAAAAACTGTTTATTTATCGCAATTATAATTGCACTAAATTATAAAATCCCAAAAGATAGTTAAAAAAATTTTTTCCCATAGATATTGAAAAAATTATCAATAATTAATTTTGTAAATTAGAAATATTTCAAAGGTGAATAACAGTTTCGTTCCCTGATATCGAAATAAGTGCAAATTTGAAAAATTATTGTTTGGAAATGGGTCGTGTTTGGAAGATTGTAACTTTAACGCAAAAAAGACAGCGGTGATTCACGCTGTGTTTCCTTTTATAGCAATAAATTATTAAAAAGCTGAATAAAATATTATTCACTCATTTTGACATAAATTTATACGAAATAAGAAAAAATAGTATAAAAATAATGTTTAATAAAAATTCTTTGTTAAAGGGTTAGCCAGAGTCCAAAAAAATATACATAATTAGAGCATTGATTACCTCTATTGCTTGTAATGTTAATTATATGTATTTTATGTTCTGTAGATTTGCGCTATAAACATAGAAGGGAAAAATATTACTTAAAAAAGAAAAACAGCAATTGAATACTCTCAACAATTCAAATTATTGTTATAATATTATTCGTATTATAGCATTATGTCCTGAAAGCTGAAACACCAAGTAAATTTTCGAAATGATTATTACTTATTAGTATGTTTTAATTCGATAATAAATGTGAATTTCAGTTTTAATGAAGTTAGAAATATTTTAATCTGCACGAAGCTGCAAAGCTGGAAGTATACTTTAGTCCAGACTCTTGTTAGCTAAAGAGTAAGAACCAAATATTATTTTTCGAACCTTCATCCGTTGGAAGAATTTCTTTATCCTTTTTCGTCATAACTGTAGGATATAAAGAAAAATCAGAATTGAGTCATAAATTTTAAATCAAACTATTTCTGATGAATTAACTTTCTTTGCAATTGCCATTATAAATCATTAAACTTAACATATATTGATATATAGATTATTATAAAATACATTTTTATACATAGATTATTACAATAAAATTTTTCAAATGAATTTGCATAATATGGATAATTTAACATAAAACAATCGTTCAAAGTTAAATCAATTTAGTCCTTAATTTCTTAAAACTTAAATTCTTATGTCCGAAATTAAAAGGTAAAACGAATTTTGATTTTAAAATTGCTCATCAAACAGTAGTGTGTTATTTCTATTACAGAAGAGTAAACAGATATTCTGTCAATTCTTTGAAACGAATCAGAAATTTTAAAAAAATTAAGAGTTATGAAATAATTAAAAATAAATTTAAGGTTCCTAAAAACTTCTCGAAAATAAAAGCAAGTATTAAAGAGAAGTTGAAAACTCAATTTAAAAAATTCATAGAAGGATAAATTTAAGCTTGCATCTATTGCATTTTTTTCAGTTTTATTACTATGTCACAATTGTTAAAAAATATTATATAAGAACTATTAAAAATAAAATATATGTTTAACTAAGTTTTTATTTTATCCAATTAATCATTTTATTGAACGATAAATTAATCATCAATTATAATCCAATTAATCATCCAATTGATCACCAATTAATTAATCCAATTAATCATCAATTATAAATTCCTTAACGCATGTGAATCAGATAACTGCAAGCATTTCACTATCATGTAACTTTCAAAAGAAACGTGGCAATATTAAAGTCTAAAATAATTTTAATATAATTTTGTAAGTAGAGGAAATTTTAAAAAACAAGAAAAATCAAAATTTTTAAAATTCCTACAAAAGGTAACTTTTAAAATGAAAACTTAATGGGTTTTTGGTTTATCTTACTTTTCGATAAATATATTCAAATATGTATTAAAAACATGAATTCATAAATACAAAAGACTACCCATAAAACAGGAACATAACACATCATTCCGAAAGTCAAAATAAATATAAATATTCAGTGCTAAAATTATATCTCAATACAGAATACATACTTATAACAAAATAATTCGAACTGTTTTCTTACTTACCTCACAATATCTCCGCCATGAATATTTGTAGTTAATTTTCTTGAGTTTCGATAGTAAGCCCATTTTCATGTATTAAATTGTGTTACCAATTTTTAATGGTCACACTCTATATATATATGTAGATATAAACTTGGAAAAACCACAATAAAGGAGATACCATGCAGAGTGGGACACAAGTCAGTAAACATAAATTTGACAAAGCATGCAAAGGTAGGAAAAGACATTTCACATTGAAAAAACAAATACCAAATTTATTTCATTAATAATAAAAAAGCATGTATTAATAATTTAAGTTCAGCTGTAAAATGTATTAAATAAATATAGCTTTCATTAGAGATTTTATGACAGCAGCATTTTGATAAAATAATGTTAAGCAAAAAATATTATTAAAAAAATTATCCATTTACACACTGGGAAAAAAATTTGGTAAAATTACCGTACTGTATGGTAACGACGTTTCTGGGGAAAAAATAAATAATTTTGGTTTTTGAAAATCAAAATATACGGTATTTAATCCATTCATTTGGTATATTCTTCCGTTCATCTGGTAGTTTTTTACCAGAAATTTTAGCTTTCAAAATTGTAGTTTGTATTCTTACACTTTTCGTAAAAAATACAAAGCAAAAAGTGAACTTGACCGTATAAATATATATATTTTTTTGTCATGTTCAGAGATATCATTATAAAATTCCCAAGTTTTATCACAGATTGCTAAATTATATATTATTGTTAAATTTAAAAAAATCATTACCAAAACGCTACGGTAAAAACTACCGAGCGTTTTGGTGTTCCCCTAGAGCCAGAAGCATTGTAATTTTTACCATATTCTGGTAACATTGACCATACTTTTTTCCTCTGTGCAAATAGTGTTATTCTTCAGAGTTATTCTGTACAGATTTTAAGTACCATAATATATTATAGTTACTAATAAAAATAGCTAAATATGCAATGTGTTGATATCACTTTTATGTAAGTAAAAATATGTTAATTTATTACGTTTATAAGTAAGTCATTTTTTAAGCATTAGCGTAATTATAAGCAGATTTAATGTCATGTTATTCTAATAAAAGTTAAAAAGGATTTCCAAACGCAATTTTTGTCAAATGTTCAATCCTTTTTCACTTTCATGATTTTAAGTTTAATAGAGTTAAAATAAGCTTATTTTAGTAGCGGTGAATTAAGTGTGTTTTTAGCATATTAAATTAAGCGATCCCACTCTGGAATTGAAATCATATTGTCCAAAAATTTGAATATCTATTGGATTAGAAACGTAATTTTTGTCAAAGACTGTGTTGATGTCTTTTTTTTATGTGGTTATATCATTTGGCCTTGTTATATCTAAATCTCCAAATAAAGTATCGTTACTCCCTAACGCTGGCGTTTAGAGTTAAAAAAAATAACTCTAAAAACAGAAATTTAATAACCAATAACATGACTCATGGGAATTCCATATTCCATGACCCCTTTCCATGACTCATTCATGACAATTCCATATTCCATCGGAATTCCATGACTCATGGGGATTCCAAGGGAATTCCATATCGAAAATTTTAATATTCGATAGCTTATCTATGGAAATTATTTCACATTCAGCATCCTACCTTAGGTATCCGACTGAGTAAAAATCATAAATTTCGACGAAAATTGATTTTTTTAACTGTTCACATTTCAAATTCTGTTTATTAGCTTTTATATCTGTTTAAATTTTGGTCTCCGATCTATAAAACCGAAGTTACGGGTTTTTTCCCGCTTGCTTAGAAACGAAACAGAATATCAAACACATACTTTAGTTGTATTTTCAGTAAAACGTTGATTTTAAGGAAATTCTTTTTACACTAACGCATATTACAAAAAAGAAATTCTAATTATAGAATTCTTTGAAACTTTTTATGCAGACTTTATATAACGTTAGCTATTTTTTAGACTAAAAGCTATGGTCTAAGAGTAAATTTATTATTTTTATCATACTTTAAGTAACAATGTTTGGAGTTTTAATTAAGAAGTCAACACTGAACAATACATTTAGTTCTATTTCATTGTATATATGAATTTTTTTAATATGTGACCTAAAAAAGTTTGTAGTTTTCATGCTCAAATTTGCCCTTATTTCGAAAAAAAATATATATTTTAAAACTTTTGAGGTTTACTTTAGATTTATAATGTTTAGACCCATGTTAACCAAAATTAAACTTGCAATTTAAATTAAGACTATTTTCAAAACAAATTGTGCCGAACCCAGTCGGATAACTTAACAGGGTGAAATTTTGAAGTTCAAAAACTTATCCATGGGAATTATTCAATATTCAACAACCTTTTTATCTATAACAAAATGATATAATCGATGAATTAATTGAGTTTGAGGATTATTAATTGGTTGAATTTGTGAATATTTGAATAAAGGAAAAAATATTCATGAAATTTTTATTTGTGCATCACGTGATTTTCCTGCCGTATTTAAATTTTTAAGGAAGTTTGATTATTGTGTAAGAAAACCACCTCTTGATGGAAGTATCTTTTGACGAGTTTAATCCGCTTCTATCTGATACGCAAAAAATGTCGAAAAGAAAGAAAGAAGAAATACCTAGAACTTGAACAGTTTCTGACGTTTGAGCAGTAGGTAATTCTGGTCTAAAAGATTCTTTTGCTTTCTTTTCTAAAGGCTGTAAAATTTCCATGTCACCAGTTTCTTGTCCTGGAGTAACTTCACTAACCTGTACATATTTAGAGAGAAAAAAAAACAGCGTGAATAATCCAGATGCAAANAAAAAAAAAAAAAAAAAAAAAAAAAAAAAAAAAAAAAAACTACAACTAAGCATTCAATTATTTTCAACTAATTATTCCATTAATACACAAGTGGGCGACCTTTGTGCTAAAATACAAACTAAGGAAAACGACGTTAAAGAGCACAAAAATATTTATAAAGTACAGACAGCTGTTTCGGATGCTCAAAGGGAAACCTTCATCAGTGCAACAGATGAAGGCAACCTTCATCAGTGTAAAGGGCAACCTGTTGCACTGATGAAGGTTGCCCTTTGAGCATCAGAAACAGCTGTCTGTATTTTATAAATATTTTTGTGCTCTTTAAAGTCGTTTCCCTTAGTTTGTAATTATTCCATTACTATAATTTAATTGTTTCACTATTATTAACATTAAGATGCTAAGTCTCTGTTATTTGAAATAAAACTAAAATCATTAGGTTTATGAATAAGAACCTCGTACCGAAAGTTTTTTTTATCTAAATGAAGTATAAATATCCTATATAATTATATTCTCATTTTTCTATTATTATCAACTAATCATTTAATTATTTTCAACTAATCACTCCATTATTATCAACTAATCATTTACTTACGTTTAATAATTTATTCCATCGTTATCAACTAATCAATTATTTCATTATTATCAACTAATCATTAGATTTTTTCAAATTAATTATTCCATTATTATCAATTAATCATTCTATTATTTTTAATTTATTTCGTAATTATCAACTATTCATTCCATTTTATTAACTTTACGATGCTTAGTAGTGGTTATTTCACATGAAACTGCAGTTAAGGAACGTCGTAGTACATTTCTTTTCTCTAAAGAAAGACAATAAAGTATAATTATTCCAATATTAGCAGATAATTATTCCATTCTTGTTAACTTATTACTCCATTATTATTGTATTATTATTAATTTATTATACCATTAATATCAAATAATTATTTCATTTCTGTTAACTTTAAGATGCTAAATTATTTGACATATAAGTGTTTATTTCGTGAGGAAAAAAAACTGTCATATACATAGGGCTCATATCTTACCTGTACTGAGACTTTTTCAACAACTCCAACTGCTGCTGTAGTGGATGATGGTTTTTCCATCGGCATCATATCGGTTATTGAACTATGAGCTAATGTTTCATAAACTTGCATTGCAATTTCAGAAGGAAGAATCACATCTACTTTTCTTGCACCAGGCATTGTGTCTGCTGTTAAGGACGCAACAGAATGATTACTAAGAATTTCCATAACTTGTGTTGCCAAATCTGATGGTAAACTGACTTCAGCATTCGCCATACTGGGTCGTTCTTCTGTAATTTCTTGCAGTGAACCTATTATTTCACATAAAGAATTATTAGACTTTGGAATAGAATTTAGTATATACACCATCTACCGATAAGTATTTGGACACCTATGCAAATGACCCTTGGTCCCCATTCATGGTAAGCTCAACGCCGATGCCTACTGCAGTATTTTAGATGCCAATGTGCTTCCTACGTTGTGGCAGTCTTACGGGGTGGGCCCCTGTTACTTCCAGGACGACAATGCCAGCTGTCATGTTGCAAGGGTCATCAAGACTTGGTATGGTGTCAATGGGGTTAATCGAATAGACTGGCCTGCCAAGAGCCCAGACCAGAACCCTATCGAGAACTTCTGGGACGAGTTGGATGTGTGAATTAAGGGGTGTACTACACGTCCAAAATCGGTAAAGGAACTTATATGTCTTCTCCAAGCCGAGTGGAAGAAAATACCACAAGCCGTCACACAAGGACTTGTGGAAAGTATGGCTCGGAGGGTTCACGCTGTAATTGCCTCTCGTGGAGGCTCTACCAACTATTGATTATGAATAAAGTTAGTTTTTCTTTTCAATCATACGTGTCCAAATACTTATTAGTAGATAGTATAGTATGTTCATATTCACCTCTTAAAGGNTATATATATATATATACTTGGGTTTATTTGGTGAAAGTAAAAATTTAGGAAATCGAGTTATATTTTGTTGTTCTACTAGTCATTCTTGTTACTAATTTAACCATTGCTTGTCATACTACTGTAAAAAAAAGTCTTAAAAATTAATTACTGATTTAAAAAAAGTTTTTATTTTGAAAAAAGAAATTTTTGAAGTTAAAAAAGCAACAAAAAAATATTTAATTTCTTAATGCATCATCTTGAGTTCAATTACAAGAGTAAATATTATTTTTACTGTTGCAAGTAGTTTTAAAACTTTTTAATCCTTTTTGTGCCCTTACGAATTACGATATAAAGTAGAGGCATACTGGGTGCATTACTAGTAAAATTCATTGTATCATCACATCCTTTGTTACCGTAAATGTTTATACCGTAATGATTACAGTAAATATTATTTCATAACATAAATTCAGTGATATTACAGTAAATATTACTGTGAAACATTACGGTATATCAGACGTTTTGTTCCGTAAAATTTTACGGTAAAAAGTACCGGCATCCTGGATACCGGTACTTTTGACCGTAATTTGATTCGGAATTTTTTTATGTATACGTTAGATGGTTTCACCTGTTGAAAGAAATTATATATTTTTTTTTATAGTTTTGGACCTCTACAAAATAATTAATTTTGAGATATTTTAAAAAGTGTGAATATGTTTATGCCCATTATAGATGTTTATGCAAATTTCTAAAAAAATCTGGAATCTAATATCATTTTTAAATAAACTGTGTCCTGACGAAAAATGATGGAATGTTTGGTTTTTACATAAACCACCATACCACTGATATCAAACAATTAAATCTTACATATTAGCGATATTAAATTGATTAAAATTTTTTTATTGTTTTAAATTCATTTCATCAAAAATTAATTACCTTGTGTAGTCACTTCCATCACTTGCATCGCAACATCGGATGGTACAGTGTATGAGAGTTCTTGAGTTCCTGGTAGTTCTCCAGACTTAAACTCTTTTGTGCTGCTGTAAGATGTAACGATAGAAACCTCAGCTGGTATTTTGGGAGAGATTTCGATTTCAGCTTGTCTCGAACCAGGCCGCTCAGATATCTGCAGGTCTCCAATGGAGCTGTTGGCCAACACCTCATAGACCTACATGAGATGAAAATGATGACTTGACAAGCACACAATGATTATAGTGCTGTGTAAAGATTGGAATCTTAATTAACGGATAGAAAAACTATTTACTGCATTCATGTATTGAAATTTTTGCCCTTTAAGAATGAATGACTTCAAAATATTTATAAACTGAAGAATATCTTTGTCCCTTAAAAAGAATTGAATTCAAACTAATTACAGAGTTCTTTATGTACTAAAATTCTAGCGCATTAGTAATTGGCCAATACGAAATATTTGTGGCACGCTTAAATTGATGGAAATTTTAAAATTAGAGAATAAGCTATTTCAAACTAATGTCCTGTATTAGCTTCAATTTTTTTACATTAGGAATTAAAAAGTAGAAACATTTATAACTTTCTAAAGCTTACTTTTAATTTTATTTGATACCTTAATTTTATTTTAACGAGTTAATCTGATCTCTTTAAGCATACATAATATTATAATTGAACGAAACTTTAGATCTTATTAAAAATAATTTTATTTCAGGTCAATACTAAAATGCTTTACTTAAATCCAAAATTTTTATGATATATATATTCAATAATCTAACGCAATTAACGGTTTATTTGATTGTTTTGAAACATTAAGTTTGCAACCTAGAAGCAACTATCTGAGAAGTAGACATAAATCTTTTATTCTTCATTTTCAACAGGTTTATACAATAATAATTTTTTTAATTATAACAACAACAAAAAATTGCCAACCTGCGTGGCTAACTCCGAGGGGATAGAGACATCGGCCAATTTTGTACCCGGTATCTCATCAGGTTTCATATCGCTAATAGAACTGTTTTCAAGAACCTCCAATACTTGCATCGCCAGATCAAAAGGTATGGATACATCCGCTATTTCTGTTCCAGGCAATTCTTCGGTGAGCTCCTTAAAAGAATCTAAACAAAAGTATAACGTAGTTAAAAAATAAACTTAATAAACTAATAAATGATATCAACGTATCTTCTATTGATGCTATATATCCTATACCCAGATCTGAATGAAGTCAATAATGTATTGCTGATTTAGAAATTTAATTACATTAGAATTTCTAGACAATGTTCGTAATAAAATGTGATTTTTTTTAAAAATAAAAAAAGATCTATATCTTAATTCGTTTTTTAGGAATATGAATTTAGAACATGTAATTAAGTACTTAAGAAACATTCGAAAAAAATACTTACTTGATTGAATAATGCAAAACATATAATATAAACAAATACATATTGGAAGAACATATTGTTTGAAATAAATATATTTGATAAAAAAAATTAAATTGACCGTATTGTCTAATTGTATGAATGAATAAAATGAGATACATTATAGCCTTCTGTAATTGTATAAAAACAGAAATCATTCATTTGATAGAATAATAGCGGCAATACATTCGTAAAACATTGATTATGAAGCAAAGTTTTGCATAGTAATAGAGAACATTTGTTCTATGTAAGAAAAAATTGTAAGACGCGATGATTCCTAAAACGAATATTTATTTTCTTTAATTTTATATCAATATAAAAAGTTTTTCAAAATTGTTTTTCTTGCCTTTCCCTGTGAGCTAATGATATCAGTTATGCACGACAGGATAATCCTACTTTAAGTAGTGTATTGGTGGGATTTTCTTTATTACAGATTAATTTTTGAAAAATGGCAGTTAAAAATCACAGAAACATTTAGGGATATTAATTAGATTGTGAAATATTTGATGAAACCACTTCACAGTGGGTTCTAGCTAATTTAACTTAGAGTCAGCGTTTTCTATTTCACAACCAATATGATGTAATTGGTGTAAATTTAAGTAAGTTGAATGTACAAAAAACCTTGACAAACATGTGACAAACATTTTAAATTTTAGGAACTTGTGACACGTGTTTTCGAAATTTTAAATAATGTGCCAAGTGCCACTGAAGAGATCATGAATATATATATCTGTGGAATATATATAAGACTTGCCGTAAGCTATTAGATTAAATTAAAAGACTGTTTGCAATAAATACTCCATAAGAAATGTCTCGGTAAAATGGTCAAGTAAAAATTTATTTAATTGTTATTTTATTTTATTCAACCAAAACATTCAAATAACTATATTCAAACTGTTAAGAGGGAGAAAAACCATTTATAGATTTTTTTCCCAATACGGTTAAGAAACCAAAATTCTGGCCGCGCCAACTTGGCCCACCTTATAAAGCTGTAGAAATACTTGTTATTGAACCACCGATAGATGGCGGAGTTTATCATTAGATTGTAACCGTAACTGCAAACAAAGATTTTGTAAAAAGCAAGAACATCTACATTGTAATGCAGTAGTAGTAGGAATGTCTACCATTGTACCGTATTTATCATGTTAACGATTTAAATATATTTTTGTTACTTACCCCTTGGTAATTATTGAGTAGTTTTCCTGTGCCATCAAGAAAACGAGAAAAAGGTTATATTCACTAATAATAGTAATAAATCTTCGGTGTTTTTACCCTATTAGAATTGCTTTAAGTTGAAAAGCGAAAAAAGCCATTTAGTTTCGTTTAGCTGGTGGCATACTGTGGCCGAGAGAGCTAGTATGGCAATCTCATGACAAACTGCACAGGGGTTCGAATCCCAGAGTTTACATCATAATATTACATTCATTCCTTCGATACAAGAAGCATTTCCAGTGGCCTGCATTTTCCAACTGATGTTCCTGGACTTCTATTATACGAAACTATCGTTCACGCAAAAATATAAATGGCGCATCACCACACAGCTGCAATATCTGCTTCATCTTCATTTTATGGTTTAGAAATTATGCTAGCTGTAAATGGTTACAAAACCGCATCGTTTTGTGTTCACGGTTCTTTAAATGTGCTAGTTGTAAACGGTTCCGAAGCCGTAAAGGTAAAAAATATTCTTAACCATAAGGTTCATGGTTAATTGGATGGACAAACTGCTGACGGTTATTTTATCGCAATTTCAGAATGAAAATTCCAACAGTGTATAAATAATTGTTTAAAGTAACGTTACCTTGAGTTAATACTTCAGAAACTTGTGCGACGACGTCTGAAGGTATTTCAAAATCCACCTTTCGCGAGCCAGGAATTTCGTCTGCCTTAAACACATTCTCTTTCTCTTCGGCTTGGATTTCAGATACACTTAGCGTATGTTGCGATGATATTTCATATTGCACCTGTAAAAACATGCACAAAGATGTTTTTTTAAAGTATTCTGAAACAAAGAAAAAATTGAGTTCACGTTGATCAAGAAAGGATGTAAATGATACAAATTGCAATTAATCGCTAATTTTTACTTTATAAAATATCAAAATAAATAAATGAATATTTGATAACATTTTCAAATATCTAAAAAAATGTTTGTGACATAAAATTATTGAGAACTTGTAAATAAGAGAGTATATTTTTCTTTAAAATTTTTATGCATTAAGTTTGTAAAATCTATGTGAAGAGAAATTATAACTGATATGACTTAACGATATGACTTTAACTTTTTTTTTTCACAAGCTTTCCAATCTTCTCTTTTTGAATAAGTTTTATCGGTTTTTTGTCCGGTTCAAGTTAAAATCCAGTTCATGGAAACTGCAGTAAATAAATAAATTCAAGTTTCAGATTAACAATAATTCAAACTAAAGAGTGATACGCAAAGAAAAAAGAACTAAACATCCTCAATAACTTTTGTTCTAACGAACGATTTTTCACTTACTACAATAGCTAGTGAAGACGATAATTTAAGTTTTCATCGACCATAATTGAGTTCAACGGACTACGATTCCTGACCTTCAAAATATAACTAGTTGCCGCAATCTGAGAAATATAGTCCTAATAGTCTGGTCAGAAAAGCGATCGAAGAAATGGGCTCCTTAATAATAATTTTTCTTTTTGCCATATGCCGAGAAATGTTTTTGGACAAAATGTCTGGACGCAATTATAAAATTAATTTATTCAAAGATAATTCCAGGCTAAAACAAATTTTAATAATTGTTTATTATTTTATTTAATGATTAATAAAAAAATTTAATCGTAAATGCAAAAACGATGTCTCAACATATGATAAAAAAAATTTCATGTTTAAAATGAACGAGCCACATTAACAATTATGCATCATTGTGTATCAATGTTGATAAGAAAATTTTTATTTTTCTTTTACTTGTATCTTATAATAATTTGCGGTATTTGCTTTTCCCAGTTTTATCATCTTAAATACTCATGAACAACGAAATTTATGATTTCGTATGAATATGTAGAAAAAAATTAAAGCTTATTTTTAAGGTTCTCAGTAGGTAATTTTTGATAAGTATTATCTTTGAAAAGTATTCTATTTTAATCATTATTATTGTCATTTTTTTTCACCGACTGTAAAGTAAAAATGTATTAAAAATAACTGAATTGAAAGAAACATGAGTTTAAATAATATGTTAAAAGTATCAAAATAGCATTCATTAGTATTAGAACACAAACAATAAATTTCTACAAAACTTATTTAAACATAAATGTGTTATACAAATTTTTAAATGAAAAAACAGAATCAAAAGTAAGCTATGCTAGTTATTTCAGTTTAAAAGCAGCAATAAATAATTTAAATATTACATGTTAAAATTAGTACTATCAGCAACGTTGTAAAACTATTATTCATATAAATAGCCTGTGTTAGAAGCTCAAATTGTTAAATATTAAGTAATAAAAATTGTAAGTATAAGCAGATAAAAATAATTAATAGCTGTAGTAGTACTAAAAGCAGTTTTAAAATGTTCATCATCTTCAATGTTAGCTTGGCGTTAATTTAGCCGATGTTATGTTATCGATGTTTATCCGATGTTATTAAGCCAAATCCATCCATAGGAGCTCTTTCAAATCTCTCCTTACCTGTTGGCCTTCAGGTTTTTTATCTTCAACAAGATCAGCTGTTACTGCTTGCATTGCTACATCAGATATGGCAATATGCTCCTCTGGTATGAATTTAACTTTAGCACTAGTTTCTTCTGGTTTCACATCTTTCTCTAAAGAAGCTGCTCTAATTTCGTCAATAACTTCCGATACAACAAATGTTTCATGAGGGGATAGCCCTATTTCAGCAACACCATGTATCGCTGTATCCCGAGATTCGAAATCAGAAACTTTATTCTCAGGCGTTATTTCTGATACCGAAACATGCTGAGCTGATGTTACTGACAGCTGCGCTGTTAATCCAGTAGGAAGTTGTTCTAATTCTAAATCGGATGCATTAGTTTGGGAGATGATTTCAGATACATTTAAATGATCTTCCTTCGTGAACTTGTAATTTGCTTTTTTCTCAATAGGTTTTTTATCTTCTGTTAAATTCTCATAAATCTCTTCCAACTCGGTCTCTTGCACTGAAAACGATTGCTTTTTGATGTAACTAACAGATGCAGAGGCAGATTCAGGTAATTTAAGCAAAAGATCAGCGGCAGTTGTTTCTGCGGTAACTTCTGATACGTGCAGAGAATCTTTTGGTAATATATTAGCACTCGCAGTTACTTCGGTAGGTTTTTTATCAAGTGGTAATTCTGACGGAAAGTCAGCCGATGTAATTTCAGAGATGGAACACGTTTCCAAATAAGGAACATTTATTTCAGCTAGCTCACCAGCTGGTAATTTCTTATGGACTAACTCTTTCGGTTGATCACCGACAAATGCTTCTGAAACATTCAAAGAATCCGAACTAATTACTTCGAAATCTAAATGCTTGCTTAAAGGTCGCTTTGGGGTTTTTAAATCTGATGTACAAAGTTCAGTTACAACTTGTTCCACAGATACAGTCTGTTTTGATATGAATTTGCCTTCAGCACTGACGCCAGTAGGCAATTCCTCGGGAACAAATTCACCAGGTTTGATTTCAGTTAGAGTTTCGGACACGCTTATGGTCTCTTTCAAAGTTAAATCCACTCCAGCAGTAACGCTTTGGGGTTTTTCTACTTTCATATCATCTGGTGTTTGTTCAACTGATACTTCGGAAACAATCAATGGTTTTTTGGTAGAGAATTTAACTCCAGCTTGTACCTCGCCTGGCAGTTTACCAGCTGCGAATTGTCCAGGTATTTCTTCAGGAAGTGTATGCGAAATTTGTACAGATTCTTGATGCGAAACACCAACCAAAGCTTGAATTTCAGCAGGTTTTTCCTTTTCTTGTAGTTGTTCCGAGTTCTGTTCTGTTTCAACTTCAGAGACCGTTAATGATTTTTTTGTTGTAAACCCAATTCCAGCTTGAACTTCTCCAGGTAGTTTTCCCGCAGCAAACTGCCCTGGTTTCTCTTCCAACAATATTTGAGAAATTTCAATGCATTCTTGTTGAGGAATTCCCAACAAAGCTTTCACCTCAGAGGGCTTTTTATCGAGTTCTAAATCCTCTGCAAGCTGTTGAAATAATGTTTCCAAGACAGTCAAGGGTTTCTTTGTAGTCCATCTGAAATCTAATTGAATTTCTCCTGGTAATTTTCCAGGTGCGAACTTATCAAGCATTTCATCTACTGTCGTTTGCTCTATTTCAACGCTTTCTTGAAGTGACACATCAACAGCTGCTTGTAAAGCTGTTGGTTTCTTTTCAGTTTCAAACTGCTCTGGTACCTGTTGAGTGGATACTTCAGAAACAGATACGGAAGATTTTGTAGTAAAACCAACACCAGCCTGTATTTCACCAGGCAGTTTTCCCGCAGCAAACTCACCAGGATGTTCTTCAAGATGAGTTTGCTGCACTTGAATGTAATCTTGAGAAGATATGCCGACAGTAGCAGATTCGGTAAGAAGTTTTTTCTGTTCCCTCATATCTTCCGATTCCATGTTTGCTGATACTTCTGACACTGATAAAGATTCTTTTACTTGGAATTTTACTCCAGCTTTTACTTCCTCGGGTAATTTATCAGCTGCTAGCTTTCCGGGTTTCTCTTCAGGTAGCGTATGAGAAATTTCTAAGCCCTCTGTTTGTGAAAAATTCATTTGAGCTTTTACTTCGGTAGGTTTCTTTTCCGAAGGTAGATCTTCGGACGTTTGCTGAGTAGAAACCTCATAAACAGATAAGGACTTTTCGGTTGTCAGCTTAATACCTGCTTGTACTTCTCCAGGAAGTTGTCCTGCACTGAAATGTCCAGGTTTTTCTTCTGGTAACGTATGAGAAATTTCAATGGGTTCTAACTGAGATAATCCAAATTCTGCATGAACCTCTGCTGGTCTCTTTTGAAGAGAAAGCTCTTCTGGAGTTTGCTGTAAATCGATTTTTGAAACTTGCAAAGGTTTCTTAGTAGTAAATTGAACGTTTGCCTGTATTTCCCCAGGGAGTTTTCCAGGCGCAAAATATCCAGGTTTTTCATCTGTTAGCATTTCAGATATTTGAATAGATTCTTGGTGAGATAAATCAAATCCAGCTTGAACAGATATAGGTTTCTTTTCTTCGATTAATGCTTCAGGTAATTGTTGCGTTGATACTTCAGATACTGTTAAAGAACTTTTAGTGGTAATTTTAACACCAGCTGTAATCTCGCCGGGCAATTTTCCAGCAGCAAATACTTCTGGTTTTTCATCTGGTAACATTTCAGAAATTTCAACTGGTTCTTGATGCGCAATGTCCACATGGGCCTGTACTGCACTTGGTGTTTTGCTGACATCCATTTTTTCGGAATGTTGTTCAGTACAGACTTCTTCTACAAGCAATGGTTTTTTAGTTGTCCATTTAACATCTGCTTGTATTTCTCCGGGTAGTTTTCCAGCCGCAAATTGTCCAGGCTGTTCTTCAGACAACGACTCAGACACTTCAATGTAGTCTTGTTGTGAAATTCCTACAGAAGCATGTGTAGATTGAGGTAGTTTCTGATCACTTAGACTTTCTGATTCTTGCTGAGTAGTAATATCAGAAATAATTAAAGATTCCTTGGTAGTAATTTTAATACCCGCCTGAACTTCTCCCGGAAGTTTTCCAGCTTCAAACTGGCCATGCCCTTCTGAATAAACTGTTTGAGACACTTCCAAAGATTCCTGTTGCGAAAGTCCTAATAAAGCTTGAATTTCAGTTGGCTTTTTCTCCACTTCTAAAAATTCAGATTGTTGTTCAGTTGATATTTCTGTTACTGACAAAGGCTTGTTAGTAGTCCATTTTACACCAGCCTGTAATTCTCCTGGTAACTGGCCAGCAGAAAACTTTTTAGATATTTCTTCTGATAGGATTTCTGAAACTTCAATTGGCTCTTGGTGAGATATGTCAACATTAGCCATCACTACATTAGGTGTTTTTTCTAACAATAATTCTGATGAACTTTGCTGAGTGGATATTTCAGAAATTGAAATTGAATCTGTAGTTGTTAGCTTCAAATTTGCCTGAACTTCTCCTGGTAGTTTTCCAGCTTCAAAACTACCAGGCTTCTCTTCAGATGTCATATGAGAAACTTCAAGACTTTCTTGCTGTGAGAGTTCTACTATAGCCTTATCAATTGCAGGTACTGATGCAATTTTCAACACTTCGGCTTCTTGTTGTGTTGAAGTTTCCGACACACTCAGTGATTTTTTTGTGGTCCATTCGACACCAGCGTGTACTTCACCAGGAAGTTTTCCTGGTGCAAATGAACCAGGACGCTCTTCAAGTAACACTTCTGATATTTGGAATGTTTCTCTAGTAGTAACATCAAGATCAGCTTTTTTCTGAGAAGGTTTTTCCTCTAATACAAATTCAGATGGTGTCATTTCTGTGTTTATTTGAGATATTGTTAGCGACTCTTTTGTTTTTATCGTAGTTCTAGCAGTTACTTCACCTGGTTGTGTACCAGCTGCAAACTCTTTGGCTTTTTCTTCAGATTCTACCATGACCACATCTATTGGTTCCTGCAACTTGTATTGTACTATTGCATGGGCGTCTTTAGGGCGGGTAGTGCTTAGTTCTTCAGGCCTCTGTTCATCAGTAATTTCTGATATTACTAATGACTCTCTAGGAGACATTTTGCAAATTGCTCCTTTTTCTTCTTTAACAGATGACAATATTTGAGCAACGAATTCGCCGGTGGGAATTTCATCAAAAGTCACTTTTTCGGGGAAAATGACTTTCAACGATGATTCCATTGTCTTTAAGGCCTCCACTGATTTTTTAATTTCCAATTCAGTTTTAGCTTTTTGTTTGGTAGATATATCAACTTCTTGTTTTACTTCCTTTGAAATTTTGATTTCTTTTTTGTGAATATTTAACTCATCAGTGAATGTTTGTTTTAGAGCTGTTTCAGCAGTTGCTACTTGAGAATCTGAAACGATTAGTTCTTTTTCTGTTATTTCAGGCTGTTTTCCTTTACTCTTCAAAACAATGTCTTGTTTTTTAATCTGAGTTACGTCAATATCAGAACTTTCAACAACAGTGGATGTCATGCGAATATCTCGTTCGAATGTTTTTGGCTCAAGTTTCTTAAACTCAATCTTTTTAACTTCTACTGATTTTACAGGTTGAATTATTTCTTCTGTAACTTTTTGTTTTGAAGTTACTTCGAAATCAGTCTTCATTTCTTGCATTTTTACAGGTTCAGGTTTCACTTTCGCTTTACTTGTTAAGATAACTTCTGGTTTAAACTTCGTTATTTCTGTAACTTCCTCCAACTCTACATCTGTCTTTTTTGTCTTTTTCTTAGCCACAGTTTTTTGTGGTAAAGTAATAACTGCTTGCGAAGTTTGTGGCTTTTCGGACTCCTCCACAACTTCGGTTACTCGTTGAGGTTTCAAATCTATCTTCTGGATTTTGATTTGCTCTTCAGTTTTTGCAGTAGTTTGTATTGATTCCGTTGTGATAACTTTTTCTGTTATTTTAGGCATTTTTCCTATACTATCCAAAACAATGTCTTGTTTTTTAGTTTGAGTAACGTCAATGTCAGGACTTTCGACAACAGTGGATGTCATGTGAATGTCTCGTTCAAAAGCTTTTGGTACAAGTTTCGAGAACTCAATCTTTTTAACTTCTACTGCTTTTACAGGTTGAATTACTTCTTCTGTTACTTTTTGTTTTGAAGTTACTTTAAGATCTGTCATCATTTCTTTCGGTGTTACAGGTTCTACTTTGGTTTTAGTCACTTCAGGTTTCATTTTTTTCTTAACAACAGTTTTTTGGGGTAAAGCAATAGCTGTTTGCGAAGTTTGTGGTTTTTCGGACTCCTCCACAACTTCGGTTACTCGCTGAGGTTTCAAATCTATTTTCTGGATTTTGATTTCTTCTTCAGTTTTTGCAGTAGTTTGTATTGATTCCGTTGTGATAACTTTTTCTGTTATTTTAGGCATTTTTCCTTTACTATCCAAAACAATGTCTTGTTTTTTAGTTTGAGTAACGTCAATGTCAGGACTTTCGACAGCAGTTGATGTCATGTGAATATCTCGTTCAAAAGTTTTTGGTTCAAGTTTCGAGAACTCAATCTTTTTAACTTCTACTGCTTTCACAGGTTGAATTACTGCTTCTGTTACTTTTTGTTTTGAAGTTACTTTAAAATCTGTCATCGTTTCTTTCAGTGTTACAGGTTCTACTTTGGTTTTAGTCACTTCAGGTTTCGTTTTTTTCTTAACAACAGTTTTTTGGGGTAAAGCAATAGCTGTTTGTGAAGTTTGTGGTTTTTCCGTCTCTTCTATAACCTCGGTTACTCGTTGAGGTTTTAAATCTGTTTTCTGTATTGTAATTTGTTTTTCTGTTTTTGCAGTAGTTTGTATTGATTCTGTTGTAATTTCTTGTTTGTTTTTTATGCTTAGAAGATTTATATCGATTTCATCAACTTGTGTGACTATTTGTTCTTGTTGTAAAACTTTCTCAGTTTCCATCACTTTAACAGAAGTATCAAGTTTTACCTGCTGTTTTAATAACTGTGTTGTGTCAGATTTTGTAACTTCGGTTGTTGACGGTTTTTGTGTTCTCTTCAATCCAATTTTAGTTACCTCAGTGAATGTTTCTTTTTCCTTTAGGTCAACATCTTTAACCATTTTAGGTTTAAACTCTTGTTGATCTGTCACTTGTGCTTGGAGTGGTTCTGGTTTATCGGAGGTGAAAAAGGACTTGAGTTTGTAATCAACAAATTCAGGTTTTACTTTTTGAGGCAGCTCTCTTTCGATTTTCGTATGTTGCAGTTTTACTTGTGATTTATGAGATTCAATAACCTGTGCTGTAAATGATTGAGGTGCTTCCTCAATCGTAAATGATTTTAAATGATAATCAACAAACTCAGGTTTGAACTCTTCGGGCTTTAGTTTTTCTATCTTAGTGTGCTGTAGCTTCACTTGATCTCTGTGCGGTTCGGTAATTTCAGCTCGAAGTGGTTTCGGTGTCTCTTCTGAAGTAAATGATTTTAACTGGTAATCAATAAATTCGGGTTTTATTTCTTCCAGCTTTATCTTCTCTATTTTAGTATGCTGTAGTTGCACTTGGGCTCTGTGGGGTTCAGTAATTTCAGCTTGAAGAGGTTTCGGCATCTCTTCAAACGTAAAAGGTTTCAGCTGATAATCAATGAATTCTGGTTTGATTTCTTCTGGTTTTTGTTTCTCTATTTTAGTAGGCTGCAGCTGCACTTGAGCTCTGTGTGGTTCGGTAATTTGAGCCTGAAGTGGTTTAGGCATTTCTTCTAACGTAAATGGTTTCAATTGGTAATCAACAAATTCCGGTTTGAATTCTTCTGGTTTTCTTTTTTCTATCTTAGCATGTTGCAGTTTCACTTGTTTTTTATGAGGTTCAGTAATTTCAGCTCTAACAGGTTGAGGTAGCTCCTCCAAAGTAAATGATTTCAATTGGTAATCAACAAACTCTGGTTTAAATTCTTCCATTTTGCGCCTTTCTATCCTAGTTTTATGCAACTGAATTTGTGCAAAGAGAGGTTTTTGTGGCTTAATATCACTGCTGATTAATTTTGTTGGTTGTATTTTAATAACATCGAAAGTCTTAGAATCGTGCAAAATTTCTTCGTATTTAATTTCTTGCGTTTCTGGTTTTTCAAATTTTTGAGGAAGAATTTCTTGGTTTTCTTTGTCAGAGCCTTTCTTAGTTATCTTCAGACTCACCTTTTGGTCTTTTCTAGGCTTTTCTGGTGTAATCTTTGTCGGTCCTTTTGGTTTATCATCTCTTTTTAAGACTGGGGCGGTGTCTTTTAAGGGCTGCAAGGTTTTATCCTCAACGATAGTTTTATCCGGTTGATCTTGAGTTTTCTTTTCTTTAGGCTTTGTATCAATGATTAGTTTTTCTCTTTCAATTTCAGGTTTTGATATCACTTTGCTATCGTAGCTTATTTTTTGTTTCGGTTGTAAAGGTGAAGCTGTGATTTCAATCACAGGCTCTTTTTCCACTTTAACTGTTTTGTCTAGTTTTTCTGTTATTATTTCTTTCTTTGTTTCTTTTGCTTTTGTTAGAACATGAGATGGCACTTCAAAGTCAATAGCTTTTTGTGGTATAGGTTTTTCTTCTATCTGTTGGGGCTTCAGTGGAGTTGGTTTGCTCTGTTTTGATATGGTTGTGATTGAGCTGGAATCATAGTGTGTTTCTTCCTCAGGGAATATCTCAGTTTCCTTAATGACTACGGATTGTGATTTGGATGAAACTTGAACCACAATGTTTTCTTTTACTACTGTTGGTTTAGAAGTAAGATTACTATCGTAAACAATATCTTGTTTTAGTTTCATGGGTAATGCTTGTATTTCAATTACCGGTTCTTTTTCTATCGTCATTTTACTTGTCTTTTTTGTAACGGTATGTTTGATGGGTTCTTTTTTTATCGTTTGAATTTCGGAATGTATTTTGTAATCAATCTCAGCTTTTTGTGACTCAGGTTGCTCTTCTCGTATAAATGATTGCTGTGGAATAATTTTCTCTCTTTTGGTAACAGTCATGATTGTACTTGAATCATAAAATTTTTCTTCACACGTGATAGGTTCTGTTTCATCCATAATCACTCTTTGTGGTTTAGGGGTTTCTCCAAACACTACACGTTGAACAGTTCTTGTAGTCTTTGGTAGAACTTTGCTGTCGTAGGTAATCTCCTGTTTCGGCTTCATTGGTAGAGCTGTAATTTCAACTACTGGTTCCTTTTCTTGTTTAACTATTGTATCCAATTTCCCCACTATTACTCCTTTAGCTGTTTCTTTTGTTAGAATATTGGAATGTACTTCATAGTCTGTTTTGGCTTGTTGGGGTTCTGGTTTTTCATCGTGCATTAAAGGCTGTTGGGTAGTTTCTCTCTTTACTTTAGAGAAAGTCATAAGTGTACTTGAATCATAGAAAGTTTCTTCCTCTTTGACTAATTCAGTTTTTTCTCCCACTACTTGTTCAGGTTTGGATGATTTTCTAACAACCACACTTTCTTGCATTCTAATTGGCTTGGGTACAAACTTACTATCAAACACTATATCTTGTTTTGATTTCATTGGTAAAGCTGTAATTTCCACTACAGGTTCTTTTTCATATTTTATAACTTTATCTAATTTTTCTGTAATTACTTCTTTTGCTATTTCCTTTGCTTTTGTGTGGATATCGGAGTGTGTTTCGAAATCAGTTTTTGCCTTTTGTGGTTCAGGTTTTTTGTCTTGTAATAAGGGCTTCTGTGGAGCTAATTTTTCTACTTTAGTGACAGATGCCGTTATACTTGAATCATAAGTTGTTTCTTTAAATTCTATTGGTTCAGTCTTTTCTTGAACAACTTTTTGTGGTTTGGGAGATATTCCAAATACGACAGTTTCTTTCGTCCGTATAGTTTTAGGTACAAGCTTACTGTCATAAACTATATCCTGTTTAGGTTTCATTGGTAGAACTGAAATTTCAACTACGGGCTCTTTTTCTGATTTTACAACATTATCTAGCTTTTCAACAATAATTTCTTTAGCTGATTCTTTTGTTTTTGTCTGAATATCAGTGCTAATTCCATAATCAATTTGAGCTTTTAAGGGCTCTTGAACTTGAGTTTCTTTAAATAACTGTTGGGAAGTTACTTTCTCTGTTTTTCTAAATTTTATGACAGAAGTTGAATCAAAATGAGGAATTTCTTCTTTATAAATTTCTTCAGTTTTCTTTGAAACACTAACAGGCGTTTTTGGTGTTACTCCAACAACTACGCTTTCTTTCAGACTTGTTGGTTTAGGAATAAGCTTACTATCAAATGTAATTTTTTGTCTAGTTTGCAATGGAAGTGCTTCTATTTCAATTATTGGTTCTTTTTCTACTTTCATTACATCTGAGATCTTCTCTGTAACAATGTGTTTAGCTTGTTCCATCTGTATGCTTTGGATATTAGTTGGAATTTCTGGCAATACTCTTGCCTCTTGAGGCTTAGACCGAATTTGCTGTGTTTTAATCTCCCTTGGAGAAAGTTTTTGTGTCGTAGAAATTATAAACGAGGTTGAATCTTGATACACTCTTTCCTCTGGCAGTTTTTGTTCAGGTAGCTTTTCAGTTACATCAATTAATATTTTCTCATTGGTAACAGTAGGCCCTGGTACTTCTTTACTCTTAAATATGATATCCTGTTTAGATTTTAAGGGTAGGGCTGTAATTTCTATGGGTGTTTCTTTTTCTTTTTGCATTGCTTTCTCTAGCTTTTCTACAATCGTTTGTTTTGCGAATTGCTTCTTTTGAGTTTGTACATCAGTTTGCAGAGTTGTGGGCTCTGTAGATGTTGGTTCATTCCATTGAGGTTTCCGTGGAGCAAACTGTTGTTGACTGGTTACATTGAATGTTGCACTTGAATCAAGAACAGCTTGTTCTGGTGTGTTTTGAAAGAAGCCAGTATGAGTAACCTGTCTGGACTGTGAAAATTGCTGAAAACCTGTAGTACTAAAGCCTTGCACACTTTGACTATGCTGCGAAAACTCTGAAATTGTTTGAGTAACACCCTGTTGTGTAAAAGAAATTGTGCTTGGGTGTAAAGATACCTGCCTAGGAATTTCTTCGAATGGAACTTCACTTACATTTATAGAATATTTATATTTATCTATGTCTTTCATTACCTCTGCATTCTCCAGCTGTGGAATGACGGAAGATCCAACCTCAGATGGTTGCTCTTGTGGAGTAATCTGCTGTACCTGAATATGTGTTTGTGTGAGAAGAGTACTTTCAGCCTGTTGTGTAATGGTCTCCACTTTCTTAATATTTCTGGTACGATGTAAAAGAGTAGTTTCTTCTGAAGCTTTTTTAACAATTGGCTTCACAGGCTTTTTAGAGATTTCTTTGGGTTGCTTCTTTAGTTCTGCTTCATGTTCTTCTTTCGTCACTATAAAAGAAAAAAATTACATATGAAAAGCAACGTTTCAAATTGGATTTAATTTTAGTAGAAGTACATAAATTTTATTACTATTAAGATAAGATTTGAGCTATCTTTTTACTATAATTTGTGACAATTAAAACGTCTACTTTATAATAAAAATAAAACAAAACTATCTCATAAAATGATTTAAACTTTCATGATAACAATTAAGAAATTCCCTATTTAAATATGAACTGCTCATTTTCCTATTTAATAAGTTGCAAGTATAAAATATGATAGAATTGTTAAAATTTAATTGGTATTTTAGGCCTTAAAATGTTTATTTTGAACAGAATTAAAAAGCATTTATTTATATAGAGGCTGTACTAAAAAAAACGTTTAATATACATTTTTAAAAATTTGCATAGACTGGAACCGTCAGAGCCAGTACAATAGAAGCAGAATTAATTAAATGCAAAAAAAGGCTTTTTTATAACCTGACGATACATTTATAAAATTAATCAACATTAAGAAGGAATTATGAAATCATGAATATTTGTCATCTAAAAGCTAAAATTTTTTAGGTACTTGGGTAATATTTAATAATTTTGTTTAGCTTCTTTATATCTCATTTAAACTAAAGGATTAGTTTTACTTTAATTGTTATACCTTATTTTTAAATATATTTAAATTGCATTTTTAAAAATACTTTACTCAGAAATAAACAAGTTGATTGGATTAACTGTTAATGTGTTTGAGGTTCAAAAATTTTTCTTCTTGGGTTAAAAAAAGAAATTAAAAATAAGCAAGTCTTTGAGTTACTTAATTAAGCATAAAGCTATTAAAAAACACAAAACTTTCAATCAAAATCTTACCGCCGACATAAAGATAAGCGGTCGTTACTGATTCGCCCAACTCGTTGACAGCTTTGCAAGTGTATTTTCCTTCCACTTCCTTTGTAACCCTCAGTATGATCAGAATCGAACGGTCTTGTTTGTGAGAAATTGTATAGAAGCCAGAAGTAACATCGATTGCCTTTTCATTGTGATACCAAGTGACTTGTGGACTGGGTACTCCTTTGATAACACATTCCAAAGTAACTTTCTTACCGGGTGTTTTCACAAAAACATCGTTTAAGGGTGACTCTATTACAGGAGATTGAGGCTTTTCATCTAAAAAAGACAAAATCCCGTTTTATATTGCATTTTTGTCGGAATTTGTTTTAAATAATAATAATGTATGCCTGGTTTTACAAATCGATGGCCTTTGTTGTTTATTTAGAGTCCTTGTAAAAAGTACAAAATTAATTTAAGGAAAGAAAAAAACATCGCAAAAAGAGTTTAGACAGTTTTTTCCGCAATTAAAAGTTTTTATACAAATATCATTTAAAGAAAAATCTTTATCTGTCATATGTAAAGAGGAAATCTTGACACTTAAATCCTTAGTAAGTCATCTTATAACGAGATATATGGTAATTGGAGAGGTCATTACAGTGATCTCGAAGATTATGGTTTCAAACTTTCTGAAGAACATAAGATAATTGCATACCTAATTTATACACTTAAATCCTTAGGAAATTTTTCATAACAGGAATCATGGTAGCTGGAGAAGCCATTACAGTGACCCTGAAGATAGTAGATTTGAACTTGTTGAAGAATCTCAAGGTAAGAGAATAGTAAACAATTGCTTAATCATTGGTTTTAAGCTCTTTTATTGGATTAGAGGATTTTGTTACATAATCTTTGAAAGTAAATCAAAGAGCATTAAAGCCTTGAAAATCACAGAAATCTAGATTCTATTCTAGAGTCTAGAATTGCAGCAAAATATCTTTTGAACTTTTTGTCCTAGAATGCGAAGCATGACAATTTTCGATTAATAACTTTTGATCGGGAAATGAGTCTTGCTAATAATGCCTAAAGTTTCTAATATGTCTTACTTAAACTCAACAATCTCAAATATATCTTATCTAAAATATATTTTTATAGAAATAATTTTATTTTTTTCGTATGCTTTAAGGTTATAATAATTGTTTCTTTCATTTTTTTTAAAAATTCGTCAGTGAAGAAAAAATCTTGGATATTTAATTTAAATTATCTCCTAGAAAAATAATTAAGCATTTAAAAGGACTTTGATCTCAAAAGCTGAGAGATTCAATTAGGAATACATATGAGCTTTCCGTAATTTGCTGATAGAGTAGCTGGGATTAAATAAGATAATAAAAAGTGGTCACTTAAGAGAAACATTTAGTATAAAGAAAGCATGGAATTTTGATTAGTTCTAGCGCAGAAAAGTTCAATACGAAAAAGTGTGTATATTTATAAAAATAAAATTATGTCTTCCGATGACTCTAATACTATTGAAATTTCAAGAATAAGAAATTTAAAAAAACGAGAATTTTTAATTATTTTCCACAGCCTTTTTTAAAGAACTCACATTTAAATTTAATCTTGTTTTTAGCAGTGGTATGTTTATGTGAGATAAAAAATTAATAAAATGTGGAAACTCGTGATTTTCTTTTAGATAAGTGAGTGGTCTATTTCAAGTGATGCATTATGCAAGAAAACGAGCATACATTATCTTCAAAGCAGCCACCTAATGTGATCACAACATATCTCATTTAAGTAACTCATTTGATGGTCAAAAAGACAATTTTTTGACAATAACACTGAAATACACGAAAGTAATAAAACTATAGAAGTAAGAAAAACACATAGTACTTTTAATTGAACTTAGTTCAAAATGTTGAGAAAATATTACCAATCTGAGAATATTTCCAATCTGAAGATTAAAACATGAACAAATAAAAGCACTTATTAGCAAATACTTAAGAGAGAGTTACATTAGTATAGAACAAGGGCGAAATGGTATTGCCATAAAAAAAACAGAGGAAAATTATTAAAAAGGTCGCCTCTTGGCAAAAGATTTCAGAAAAAAACATTTCCCTGGTTCATCTGCTTGCCATTAAACTTCCTCTAAAATATTATTCTATGTATAAATTGAAAATAAAATAATAACAGCACACACCTACCAGCCCAATCAGTAGAAGTATAGAAGTACGCGAAAAACTTCCAACTCTCATTCCATAGAATAAAAACTCAATTCTTGATTCTAAAGGTTTGAGCACAGTTCAGTGTTACCTCTTACAAACGGTAAAATCAGTTAAATAGAAAGAATACTGAACTGATTCAAAATATAACTGTGTATTCGGTGCAAGGCATATACGGAAACTTGCAGTCTAAGCGAAGAACTTTAAACCATTATTCATCCAGTTATTCACAGTGACGCTTATTTCTGCCATCTTGATTATCCTCTTGGCTATGAAGATAAAAAGCATCAGAATGCTCGGAATTAAATGAATAATTAAAGCAAGAAAAGAATAGAAAGGTTGTTCAAGATTCCGAAAATACAGTTCAATACAAAAGTGTACCATGACAAACATTGATTGGCAACAATGCAACGTGAAAGATCCACCGCTGACAAAGGGAATTCCAGAGAGAGAACTGAGGTATGTTAAAATCCTCGAACAACGTGCCAGTTCTTAAACATACCGAGGTCTACATGTTACACTAAAAAGTTGAGAGATATGTTAAACTGTTAGCAGGTGATTTAGTTGCTTTGTTTTGTATGAGTTTTGGGGATGGATTTATATAAGTAAAACTCCCAGTGCGCGAAATAATACGATCATTTGATATTGCAAGAGACAATATTGCACCATATCTGGTACTCATATTTGGTTGAAAAAATTATATATTTGTTCCACAAAACTATAACCTTTATCATTAACCATATTATTTTGGATTGTTATAACTGGTAATATTTAAAAGAGATTTTTTTAAAAATAATGCGAAAAATTAGGCTTTTTAATTTTTAAAGATGTTGGAGGCACTGCAAAATACAATTTAAATTTTACAAGTTTTCCCTACGATATTTTTATGGTAGTGACAATAAAAATATATCATACGTTTTGAATAAGATTTCTTAAGAAAATAATATAGGAAATTATGAAAAATTTACTCTTTATTTACATTTTTCTTAACACTTTGAAGATGTTGAGGCAATGGAAGATATAATTAAAAGAAAAAATTCTTCACTCTTCAACGACAGTATTCAGTTTAAAAACTTCAAACTTGTAATTATTATGCTTAGAAACATGTATTTAACCAATTTTGAAAAATGAAATTGTTGACGAATTTCATTATTGAAAACACTATTTAAAAGATAGTTTTCTACTCTTATTAAACTTTTGAACACCAAGTTTATTTTCAAACTTTAAATGCATGTTGCTGAAACTTGTTAATTTAAAAACACAAGACTTCAGTATCAAACTCAAATTTAAATAACTAAATAAAAATTTAAAATTAGAAATTAAATGTCAAAGGGTGATTAGAATAATGGTGCAAGTACGTCATATTTCCTCCAAGAATGAATTTTTTTGCGTAATGAAGAGATTATCAACTTTTCTTGCATAAGAGAAACTTTTATTGTTTGAAATACGCAGTAAAAAATTCCGGATCAAATTATAGTAAAAAGTACCAACTTTCTCGATACTTTTTAACGTAAAATCCATTATTACCGAAACATGTTACGGAGCAAAAAATCTGATATACTATAATTTTTACAGTAAAATTACAGTATCACTCTAACTAAATAAATATTACAGTAAAAATTATGGTATAGTATTTCACTGTAAAATAGATTTTACGGTTTAATATATTTTACGGCAAAAAATAAATTTTACGGTTAACTATATTTTACGGTAAAATTATTTTTACGGATGATGCGCTCTAAGAGCTGGTACTTTCTAACATAATTTGAAGCGGAACTTTTTTAGGGTAATTCATTGTTTATCAATACGATTGTCAAACCATGTGCGATTAACAGATTATGCATATTCATTTTATGCATTTTTTTTTATGAAATAGCACACACGTAGACTTATGCGTCATTTTTTCAGGAAGAGCTAAAACAATACCTTGAATTTTCTTTTGTGTTTCCATTTCCACAACCCAGTCTGGTTTCCTAGGTTTATACTCTGCGAAAAAATCATAAATAGTATGTTAGGTGTATGATTTATACATTATTCTAATATACTTATGGCATCAACAATTATTTATTTAATTTTCAGACCTGTAGCAAAATTTTAATTTTTTTAATTTATATTTTAGGTGTTATTTTAATCGCTAAATAAATCCTCGTATGTTCTGAAATATTTTAACAATGATAAAACCTAAAAGGAAAACAAAGATATAAGAGAGTTTATTCTCGTAAATATGAGTATGAAAAGTAATGCTGCTTAATAGAAATAAAAATCTCAACCTGTGACAATAATTTTAGAGACAGTGATATCGACTCCATTTCTGTTTTGTGCCTCGCAGCTGAATTCTGTCGTATCTTCTTCTGTGCACCGCGTGATCGTCAGAGAGCACATCCCTGTTGGTTCGTAATATATCTGATACAGTTGGGAGTGCTTCAGTACTTTTCCAGATTTGTACCATATGATTTTAGGTTTCGGTACGCCAGACACTTTGCATTCCAATCTGCAAGATTTCAAATTAAGTTTATGAGGTAAAATGAAGAAAAAAAAATGTTGCAGAAAATTGAACAAGAGTGAATTGAAAGCTAACTTCAACTATGAAAATTTTACAAGAATGATTCGAAAACTAACCCCCTCTTTGAAAATTGTACAAGGAAGATTCGAAAACTAACCCCTCTTTGGAAATTGTACAAGGAAGATTCGAAAACTAACCCCCTCTTTGAAAATTGTGCAAGGAAGATTCGAAAACTAACCCCCTCTTTGAAAATTGTACAAGGAAGATTCGTAAACTAACCCCCTCTTTGAAAATTGTACAAGGAAGATTCGAAAACTAACCCCCTCTTTGAAAATTGTACAAGGAAGATTCGAAAACTAATCCCCTCTTTGAAAATTGTACAAGGAAGATTCGAAAACTAACCCCCTCTTTGAAAATTTTACAAGGGTGATTTCGAATTTAACCTCCTCATAGAAAATTTTAGAAAACTGATTCGAAAATTAGCCTTAGCGTAGAAATTTTTTCAAGGTGATTCGAAATCGGACTTCCGCTGTGTCGTAGCGTATCCTCTATTGGTGGGTGGAGCGCAAATTTTTTTTTAAAAACTAATTATTATTCGGTAAGCTGCCTCGTATTCTAACACTTTGTCTCGTATTGAACTGACTCACGTTTGCTGCTTATGACGTCACAAAATGTGCGCTTCCATTGTAAATCTCATCGAATGCCGAGATATATTGAGTAAAAAGATTTCACAGGGCGAAAAATGTCTACTGCTGAAAAATTTGCGAAAATACGTTGCTGCATGATAACGCTCGACATCGAGATACTGGACTAACACAAGATCGTTTGCGACATTTAACGATTCCCCCCCTATTTAGGACTTTTTCCGTATTGTTATTTTACAGTAATTTACAAATGGCTTGAGTATTTAGTTCAAGATGAGGATACTTTAAACCACTATAAGTTGGCGGAGTTTCATGTGGGAAGGATTGGTAGCTTGTGAGAATATCATGAAGTGTGTTTGAGTGAGCATGGTGACTATATCGAAGAATAGAAGACAACTGCATTTTTCAAAAGTAAATAAAAAGTTTACAATAAAACGGACTTTAAATTTTGAATTGCGCTTGAAATATATCATAACTAAAAGGAGTTAATATAGAATTTAGTGATAAGTCACACTTTTTCCTATGGTTACATTTTTATACCGAACTCTTCTTTATTACTTTTTGTAGATAAGTATTTTATAAGTTTTTTTCCTTTTTTTACCGAAAGGCAATGTGATACAAAGAAACAGTTGATGGCCTTCATAGAAACCATAGCAGTCACCAAAACAATACATTAAAAACACTCCATTAATCGATTTGAAAATGTAGTTCATCATATAATTACTCCAAGTCTGTTAATTAAACACCCAAAGACAGACAAATGGGGAAAAAAAAGTTGACACGATAGTTTTAATTTCATGAAACTAGCATGTACTAGTAACAAAATGCTAGCCAAAATACTTTTGTAGTACTAGCATGTACTACAAAATACTAGCATGCAACTTATGAATTGACAAGAAGTTTTGGTAGTTAAAAATGTGTTGTAATACTTTAATTTTGTTTCCTTTTTTAATATTCTCCCTAAATGGGGGGGGGGAGATTGTGATAATATTGACTGTACTTCAAACTTATTCTTCATAAATATATGTTTAAACGTATAATAAATATATGTTAGGTTATTATGAAAACACGCTATTAGATTATTTTAAGTTTGGTCAGTATTATTTTAAAGCTAAATGTTTCTTCCAAAAAGCAGTTCAAACTGACAATTTTACAACGTGGAATTCAGTATGTTTAGTTTAAAGTTCTATAAAATTACTAATGGGTTTTTACCTAACCGTCTGTCCAGGTCTAGCTTCAACTTCTTTTTCTAACGGAACGATAAATTTAGGAGAAGTTCCCGCTTCTTGTTTAGGAAGTTCAAATTTTTCTTTTTTAACTGGAGTGTCAGGAGCTACTTCTTCTTCAGGCAAATCTGGTACAGTGACGAATTCTTCTGCACTCGATTCCTCTGACAAACAGGCTTCTGCTGAAGTGGTTTTATCCATGCTTAGTGTAGCAATTTCTGAATCTGGTATGTATTCGTATGCTATAATGGAAAATTTTAGTTTAGAGCATTTAAACAAAATATTAATTTCCGTAACGTAAAAAGTGTGCAAAGTTATAAAAAATCAGTTGTTCGGTATTTTTGTAAAATGTTAATTTCTATTTGTATTCCTATACATATATGTAATATTTATTGCACATTTGATATTTATAGGTGTAGTTACAATTATATTAAACTCGTACATTTTGAACTAGCAGGTAAGTCTTCACTTTTCGTATCATTTACACTATTAAATATCTTATCTAATACGGAAGCCGTTAATGTGCACATTATAGGAAAAAATGTGGAAAGCCTTGATTCCACATTTAAAAGCAACAAATCTGGTATATGCACACTGGAGCTTTAGTGGTAACAGAGGTATAAATGATAGAAGTTAATACCATTTGCAAATGCACTCACTAGCATTGTTCACAAAGATTTAATACATAGATACAGAGTGTCCTATAATATATGTTTTTAGAATCCTGGTCGAAAACACTTTAAGGATTTCAAATTAATATTTGAGTGAGTCAGAAAGGAACATGATGTCAAAATCTGTCTAATCTCTATTAGGGAAGGCAGAATGAAAACATCAAAACTAGCTTGATTGTCTACTGAAGCTTTGTACGAATTGTTTTCAAATCTTTTCTTTTTTCTCCAGAAATCAAATATGTTTTAATGTTTCACATATGATTTGCTAGCAGTTTAGCATTTTTTTTCCACTTAAATATTAAGTCAAAAAATAATATTATGTTCTTAATACAATTATTAGTTTTATATTTTTTTTAAAAAAGATAGAAAATAAGTATACGTACATTCAACAGTTAGAGTTGATCTAGTAATGGCCTCTCCAGCTTTATTAACAGCTTTGCATATGTAATCCCCCATATCTTCTGGAAAAACTTCAGAGAGAAAAAGTTCGCAATAACCATCTTTTCGGTAAGTAGTCCATACCTCGGAATTTTCTCTAACTTCTCGATTATTATGCAACCATGTTATTTTGGGCATGGGTAAGCCAGTAACCTATAAAAAAAACATATGTTTTAGCATTTGTATTACAAAAAAATATAGTTGCGTATCAATCGCACTCAAAAGCAAGTTTTGATGTTCTGTTTCAGTTTACACTCACAACAGCTTTTAATTTTGTTCATTCTTCAGAGCCACTTCGTTTTGTTCACTAATCAAAAATACATTTTATAGTGTTATTCAATAGCCTGGTTGACAGGGCGCTGGACTCACGTGCGTGAGGATGGGAGTTAGATTCCAACCAGTCGAAGATTCCCCATGAAGTAAATGGTGACTGGTGCATGTTAAATCTGTCGGGTCACGAAGCATGTTCCCAAAACAAATCAATATCTCTGAGGATACTGAATTGGAGATTGGTCGTTCAGATCAAAATTGCGATCTGTGGACGAATAAATGGATGTATGAATGGGTTCGCCCTATGAACGACTGTGGCGTATGGGTGTTGCAAAGGTCGAATTCTTGGCGATAGATAGCGTCACTGGAAATCAAGAACAATCGCACCCTTTCTGCCTTAGTGACCGACAACGACAACAGCATAGCGTTATTTTTAATACTGAACAAAACAACGGTAGAAAAAAAAGAAGGAAATCAGAGTTTCAAAATAACGAATATCAAACCGCGAATATCAAAATCGTGACAGTCAAAACCACGAACTGGATAATACCGCGAATTATTATATACATTACTATTGAGATTTTAGATGAGTTCGGTCTCTCTTTTAGTGGTCCGAGCCCGAAAAATTTTGACCCTAGTCGAGTCCGAGATAGATAGGATTACTTAAATCCCGAGTCCGAGATATACGTCAAATAAAGGCCACATATTTAAGGTCTCACCACTTGGCTTTTGACGGCTAAACAAAGAAATTAATAATTAGAATTTTTTTTATCACAATGATAATTATAAATTTTCCATTTAAAAAATGTAATAAAATATTGGTTTAAAAGTAGTAAAAACGTTTATGAAAATTTCCTCGCGAGTCTGAACCCGCCTGAGGCTGAAACCCTTTTTTCAGTAAATAAGCCCAAGCTGTCTCACCTCTAATTGGGATTCACATTAAATTTAACCTTGCTCCTTAAAATCTCCACAACAATAATGTTTGGAATAAAGGGGAAAAAAACATCAGTGTGAGGATTACTGGTCACCAAGCCATAGTTCTTGGGGGGAGGGGACAAGAAATCTCATTTTGCGATTTTGACAGACACGTAATTTTTTGTCTTAAACATTGCTTAGTTTCAAATCGCATTTATATTTATTTAAGCTTGAATAAATTATTATTAACAGTTTAGAACAGTAAACTACGGTAGCAGAGTACTGTTTTTAATACTAATAAATTAATTGAGTTTTAAATTAATTTTTTTTTGAAATCTTGTTTCTTAAAACTATTTTTTATATTGTAAACCAAATTCGTTAAATTATGCAAACCTGCAAAATATCCTTAAAATGAAACTCTGTTAAGATTTGTAGATTTCACCTAAAAACTATACATGATGGTACTTACATAACAAAATAATTTAGCTTCTTCACCATCCATCACTTTCACTGGAGTTAAGGGAGTAGTGAATTTAGGAGCTTCTGTAACCTCTTCTTCCGGAGGACCTGCAAGCAAAAAAAAAATATTTATATGTATAGCTTTTTCTGTAACCACCGCCTCTAATCTATTAATTTACTTAATCCTTATCAAAACTATGTATGCTCTGGGCTAATTGAAATAATCCTGTTATTTGCAAACAACACCTGCATTCTCAAAATGTGCAAAAAATATCAGAAACATTGTTGAAGGAAACTGAATTCGCTTAGGCTTATTGCAATGCAATAAAACTTTAATAAGGCTGTTTCCAATACGCGTATGCTAATCACGGTTTTTGTAAACTGCATTAAATAAACCAGGCTAATATAGCGATGAATGACATTTTTTCTAATTATTCTAATAGTTTGTGGGATCACTGCAATAAGCCTTAAAATTCTGGAGACATTTTCAAATAGACTGGCGCATTGCGGAAAGACAGCAGCTGTTTGCGAAGAATGGCATCACTATATTGTTGTACAGCATGTACATGTTAAGAGTAGTACATTGATATTAAAGCGTGTAAAAAAAACATATTATAAAAATAAGAGGGGCGAATCTCTGTTTACCTTTCTCTAGTCAGGGAGCCTGACCTGATGTCAGAAATGTTCTGAATCGAATCCATCTTTGGGTATGGATTTAATTTCTCACTATGTGATATGTCTTTCTTATTTGGTTGGGGTGACGTTTATCCGCCTATGTGGTGCTTACGAAAAAGAGAGCAACAATAGCACCCTTTAAGTTCCATGATGGCATATAGTTGCCAAATGTAGTGGGCATTTGAAAAATAAATATAAATAAAATTTTTATTAAGTTTTATATTAATATGATAAATATTTCGTTTAAGAACCGGAAGAATTGAAGTTTATTGGGCATTTAAGGAGAGAAGTGAGAGCTTCGTATAAGAAATTTTTAGTCTTTTCATGGATATAAATTTTCACTGATAAATTTTCCATCGATGTAAAAGAAATTATATAAACAGTTTATAACATAAAATGAATCTTACTTTCAATGGTCACAGTAGCAGTAGTTGTGGCTGTTCCGGCTTCATTTTGAGCTTTGCAAGTATAAGCCCCACTGTCATCAGCGAAAGCCTCACAGATCAATAAAACAGACTTATTTCCCTCGCTCGTAACTTGGAAGTCTCTGGAAGATTTAATGGGTTTCTTTTTAAATTGCCAAGTGAATGTTGCATCTGGAGAGGCCATAACTTCCACTTCCATTTTGACCGGTTCTCCCTCCGGTACCAGTTGTGAGATCAAAGGCTTAACAAATATCGGTGGTACTGGTTCAGGTTTCGGTGACTCTATTTCACCTGGATTAGAAGAAACAATATCGATATAATAAATATTGTTAATTAATATTATCATCAAATAGTATTATTACGTTAGATTATGCGTTTTGGAGACCATATTTCACATGGATTGTGAGGAAAAATCAGTTAATCGATAACAAATATCGTTATGTCATCAAACAATATTATTACGTAAGATTATTATTGTTAAGAAGAAGTTTTTATTAAAAGCAATTATTTTAGGATATTCTTAAAGAGTATTGTATTAAAATTGCTTTTTATTATTAGTGGGTTGTTCGTTTTTAATATCGTTTGTAACATAGTTTTTTTTTTCCAACAGAGAACTTAATTGTATTCTCTCACTGCTAACTTCACACTTAACACTAGAAAGACGGAAAATTAGTATATACCTATATTGCCCAAAAGCAGTCAAAATGACTAGATTGCGAATGCGTAAATAAATTTGTTTAAATTAATTTTTAACATTTTTAATATTATTTACAGTTATGTAACAAGTTATTAGTAAATGTTAAGAATAAAAAAAATTATATGTTGTACAAAAAGTTACGAAATTCTAAGAAATTGTGTCATTATATACATCATTGTTTCTCTAATTGAAATTAAAAGTAATCAGAATGACTTCCTTAGGCAATCTAGTGTTAAGACGCATAATCATTACATACTTTGACAGCTGGCATAGCAAGGCTTAATTGTGAAAATATTCGATTGATTCTGAGCAGTTATTTTGTGGTTGGTGCCCTTTCAAATACAATAAGTGATAAGCATCTTATTCGACATATTTTATTTCGAAAATTCGGCATATTTTATTTTGAATTTATTAATGAAAAGGTAAAAATTCTGCTCAGGCAAGAAAAAAGTATCCGATGTGTATGGAGAAGGTGTATTGGCAGTAAGCCGGTGCCAAAACTGGTTTAAAAAATTTAGATCTGGCAACTTTGACATGGAAGATGACAAGGTCAAATTTTGACGTGGTGAACCGGGTTCGAATCCCAGCGATGGTTGATCGATATGAATCCCGGCTTGCACTGACCACAGTGCTAACGTAAAATTTCATCAGTGGTAGACGAATCATGGGTTAGAGTTCCCTTACAGTCAAGCTAACTGTAGAAGGTTTTCTTCTCCATTTGGCGAAAATGTGGGTAAGTTCCATCAAAAGTCCTCCACGAAGGCAAATTTCTCCCAATTTTGGATCTAGGAGTTCCCTTGATTCTCTTCTAGATTGGATTCAAAATTATAAGGATGCGCCGTTGAACATTAGTAGTCGAAACTCCCCTCCCTCCCCCCCCAAAAAAAATGGACCTCTTGTTTAACGATGATTATTAAATAAAATGAAATACCGATATCTAATTTCCTCATGTTCTTATGAAAAGAAATTTACGCCATCGCGTTAACGTATCAACGCGTCGCTGACCAAACCTCAAGAAAACGATCCAATTTTAAGGCATTTTTATTAAAGGCTATTATTGTAAGATATTGTAGAAAAGTATTATTGACAGAAATAATTTTTAACCTTAGAATATTTATATTGCTGAAAAATAATTTTTAATTAATTGGGTATATTATTAAAGATTAATATTGTTAAAAATAATTTTTATTTTTAAAATAAGGATATTGTTGAAAAGTTTTATTGATGGAAAAATTTTTTAACCTTAGAATATTTATATTGCTGAAGAATATTTTTTAATTAATTGGGTATACAGTTAAAGATCATTATTGTTAGAAATAATTTTTATTGTTGAAAAGTATTATTGATGGAAATAATTCTTTAACCTTAGAATATTTATATTGCTGAAGAATATTTCTTAATTAATTGGGTACATTGTTAAAGATCAATATTGTTAAAAATAATTTTTATTTTTAAAATAAGAATTTTGTTGAAAAGTATATTTCAATTACAAGTTATTTTCTAAGATATTCTGAAAAAGTATTTTTGTTAGAAAATTAATTTAATTAATAAATTAATTAGTTTTCAGTTTTAGAAGAGCAATATTGTTGAAAAGTATTTTCCATTAAAGGCTTTTAATTGTTATAAAGACGTTGTTGTCAGATAATGTTTTTTTATAGTTAATATAAGGAAAGTATTGAAGCAAATAAGTAAGAGTATTATTGTCAGAAATAATTTTTATTTTTCGAAGAGGAATATTGAAAAGTATTTTTTACGAAGAGCCAAATTTTTTACAAAAAAAATATCGAGCAAATTTTATAAGGTTGGGTACTTGACATTTTTGATTTTGTTGAAACTTTCAGAATGTGCTTTCTATACAAACTTAACAAACACTTTTGTTGTTTTTGAATTTTTGCGAAAAATTTTGTTCTTAAGGCTTTGGGGGCAGGGGTCAAACTGAAGATCCTCTGGAACTTCGGGAAAAACATGCCTATTTACATCGGATAATAATTTTTGTGAAAGGAGTGAACCACGACAATCTTTGAAATTAGGCTATTTACTTAGATTTTGGTCTTCAAATCAAATCTACTTGTGCCAACAGCGAACCACTAAATTCACAAGCCGTTTACTTAATAGGGTTCTAATCTTTGATGTCCGTACCCGTGTAAATGAATACAGAAATACTTATGGGAAAGCTGTAATGTGTCTTAAAAATGTGATTTAGAATATTTAAGGCATGAATATAAATTTATACGAATATCTAAAATTAAATCCTCCCTGGGTAAGTTTTAGTCTTTATCTAAAATTTACTAAGAGGAGGCAAAGGGGACGAAACTTACTAGTTGCTATCTAGGAAAGTGATATAATGTTCACGATGTAGATTTTTAAGCTGAATTGAAGGCAATTACCCCAAGTCTATGTATCTAATAGTTAAGGAGTTATTTATATCCAGGCAAGTGAAATATGGATTCGAATGTATTTTATATGCAATCGACAGGAATAGAACACTTCAATTCACTAACAGTTATAAAAGTTAAAGTAGATTACGTAACAGAAAAAAAGTACATAACTGTATTTTTTATGCATAAATCTTTTATAACTCTTAAAATGTTAGTGAAATTAAGTGTTTCTATAGATTTTAAAGGCTCTTAAACACTTTTGATGTAGAATATTGTTAGACAGCATTGTTGTTAGAACTAAATTTTATAATTATCGAAAATTATTGTTAAGGAGCATTTTTATTATAAGCTTTAGATATAGATCACTGTTTAAGGCTGAAACAAATTTTTATTTTGAAAAGAATATTTCTGTTGTTGAAGAGTGTTTTAATCAAAGGTTTTTACTACAGAAAATTGTCAAAGATGTTACTGTTAAAAGAAGTTTTTATTTTGAAAAGAGTAGTGTTGTAGATGACAAATTTTTAAGTAATGGGCTTTGTTAAATAAGTTTTTTATTATTGGAAGAAGATTGTTGCTTTGTATTCTTTGTTAAAGTATATTGTTATAGGGAAGCACTGATATAATGAGCAAGTCTGCAAACTTACTTATAACATTCAATGTAGCTGTGGTGGAGGCTTGGCCAGCTTTGTTGGTTGCCTTGACGCCATAAATGCCAGCATCATCAGGAAATACTTCCGCTATCAACAGAGATGATTTTCCGCCTTCGGTCGTTATTTTGAAGTCTCGAGATGGCTTTAGTTCTTGATTATTGTGATACCTACCACATGATTATTATTGATTACTTTTACATGCTTGTTATTAGTTTTATAATCACATGTTTATTATTAATTATATAAGAATTCAGAGTGTGTGATAAATTAAATATAAAGATTAAAATAATGCAGCAACGCCTTTGACTTACTTTTTTTCAGGGTTTGTTGATTTAAATCTGCTTGATTTTAATCACGATTTAAATCATGATTTAAATCAAATGATTTTTTTTAAAAAAATCATTGATTTAAATCAACTAATTTTTTTATGTATATATTGATTTAAAAAGTTAAAAAACAGTGTTTTAAATTATTGATACTTTTATTATTTCTTTTCTTAGTTTTAAAATTTATTTTAAAAAAATTGTTGCATTAATTAATTTTAGTTAACGAAATTACTTTCTTTCTTGGTATGTGCTGAATTCTAACACAATCGAAATTACATCTTTAAAACTCTTGACTCTTGAGATTGAAAGTACAGATTAAAGTAAACATTTAAGTATTTTTTTCTCATAATATGTTTACAGTATCTTTGACATTATCAGATTTTCTATAAAGAAATTTTGTGAAAAAAAATTTCAATCAGTACATAGATTTTTTTAAATTTTTTTTAGCTTAACTTATCTGTTTTGATATAGGATTAAAAACGAATATATTTTAATATAAAAATAGATAGATTAAATATTTATTTATTTTTTGATGATTGACTACATTTATAAACACAATCTGCTACATTTATTTAGTCATTTTAAAAATCAAGAGAGAGAAAAAAAAAGAAATCACAATTTTAAATTAAAATTATGATTTGATAATTGAAACTTTGTTTTATAGTTAAAGTATTCCTTAAATTCACTATTTCATCTAGTCTTTAAATTTCAATCATGCATTTGTTTCAAAATAGTTGCTATGCATTCAAAGCTATGAACTATAATGAAAAATTGTTTTAGGTAGTTAGAACTTCTAAAATATTCTTATAATATAATTTTAATATTAATTTAATTTTAATTAAACATTTATAAAGTTTTTTGTCATAAATCAAAGCTCTTACAGTGTATTTGAATAAAAATAAAAAAAATCTGATTTAAATCAAAAAAATCTGACTTTTTTGATTTTTTCTAAAAAAATCAAAAAAATCACGAACCCTGCTTTTTTTTAATAATTTGTTTCAAAAAATACATGTTCATTTGCAAAAACATTTGTTCTAAATTGAATGGAACAGTTATTGGAATTCATATTTAAACATATAAAAACGGTGATAGCATAATGATTAGCTAATGTTTAAATAGAGAAAAATGAAACAAGTGAAAATATCTGTGAATTATTTAGATGCATTCGTACCTTACGTTTCTATTGAGACTAGAAGAATTTCCAAGGAAAGTTAAATCGCATTCGATTTCATTAAGCATGAATGCAAAATACCATTTTAAATTGACCGAGACATACTTGGTAAAAAATTCCGTTATCTCTTGAGCAAAATATCCAATAAAAATGCCACAAATTTAAAGCATTATATTCATTAAAGAAAATGATTTTTTGCTTGTTAATGATAAACAGAGCTGTTTACTAAACGTCGCTGGAGGTTCATTAAAGAAAAAAATAAAAGTTTTTGCAATTAGAAAAAAATAATAATTGCAGATTGAAAATTTTTGCCGTTGATCATGTTCAGTAAGAGAAAATATGCAATTTATATTTTCAAACAGGAAATATTTCTTGGCTTCTTATTTGGTCACTGGTAATGATATATATTTGCCCATAGAAACAAAGCAAATAACTTTTTAAAGGGTTTTTCACGCTGATTTTTTAATTTTTTAAAGTGTTTTTCACCCTGATTTGAAACTTAATTTAAATGAAAAGAAAATGAAGAATCAATTTTTTCTTAAGCATTGCCTGCTGTAACTTTGTGCATTTCAAGTTGTATAATAAATTTTTCAAACTACATGAGACAATATATTTGAGTTAAAATGTTCCTAAACAAATGTTAGTATAGTTTCAAAATTTAAATCTTTTGAGAAAAGTTTGAAAAGCATAATTGGATAAAATTTATAATGATTAAGATAAATATGTCTGAAAAGCATGTTCGAACTCAGTGTTTTAAGTTATTCAGTGTTTTTTAAAGATAATATTAAGGTTTTAAAATAACAGTTAATTACAGTCAAACTTATCTCTCAGAAGAGATATTATCATAACAGACACATCTCTTAAAACATTGTTTTATTTTGATAGAAAAAGTTCAAAGAAAAGCATACCATTGCAAAGTTGGCGTTGGCGTACCACTTGCTTCCACGATCATTTCCAGGGGTTCTCCTTCAGGTGCATCGACAGGTAAAAGTGGTCTTACGAATTTCGGTGGTTCATACAAATCTGATTTTTCAATCATAACTATGTCTTCTACAAAAATGAGATAATGTTGTCATTATTCTTTAAAAAGCTAAAAATATTATACGATAGATAAATAAGTTAATCTTTTTTTAAGAATTTGTAAAGTAAATGATGCAGAATATAAATTATTAGCAAAAATTATTATGAAATCTTATTAAAAAGATTAACTGTTATTATTTAAATGTTTTACATTAATCTTCATGATTGTATTATTGGTGTGTACAAGAAAACTTTCATATGAGTTGTTAATGAATTATGATGAAACTACTGAATTAATAATTATTCATTATGAAAGAATTATTAATTAATTATCATTATTATAATTTATTAACCTCACCCTGAGTGCGGATACTTTTTAGCGCAATTCAATCCGGAATTTTTACTGTGAATATATAATCTTATAAACGCAATTTTTCCGAAAGAGTCATTTTTACATCATATTTTTCCCTATTGTTGTTTCCAGATAGTTTACAAGATAACGGCACTTCCATCAGATTGCAGCAAAATATATTGAAACAGTTAATTATCTGCATGGAAATCTTGAATTTTTCTCCAAAAACATTTTTAAGAAATTCTCCTTTGAACAATTTAGATTATATTATATTAACCAAAGCCTTTCATATCTCAGTGAATACAACTTACCTGTAACTGTGAGTACAGCCGATGTGGCATCTTTTCCGTGTTTGTTTAGGGCAATACATGTGAAAGTGCCCTGATCATCTGGAAATACTTCTGGAATTGTAAGAGTGGCTTCGCCAGTTTGTAAATCATATGTAGGACTAAAATCCCTCGTTGGACGTATTTCTTTTCCTTCTCTGTACCATTTAATTTCAGGTACAGGAGAACCCATGACCACGCATCTCAAAACTAACTTTGTTCCTTCAACTGCAGATATTGGTTGCAGTGGCTCTGTAAATTTTGGTGGTTTACCGCTACCTACAAAAAACAGGATTATTTTTACTTTAAATTATCTACTGAGCTGAATATGGTAGTCGATATTGAAAAAAATTAAATTTAAACTAGAAAAGTTGACCATATTAAACTTTAAATAAATATTTTTTTACACTAAATAAATTATATATTTTTCCTTTCGCTCACCTTTCCCACACAGTAAAATAATAATAATCCTATAATGTAATTAAACTTCACGTATGTTTAATGAAACTGCAACACTTTAAAATGAAACACACGAGTTTATTTAAAACTCTTAAGAAAGGATGCACTGTAAAATATTCCAAATCAATTACGGTAACTGGTGCTTTGGGTGCATCATTCGTAAAATCCACTTTACCTTAAAATATATCGGAACTTTTGCAGTGATATTTATTTAATTAGAGTAATTCCGTGATTTTATAGTAATTATTACTGTAAAATTACGGTAAATCAGATTTTTTGTCCATAACATGTTTCAATAAAAATAGATTTTACGGTAAAACCGGAACAAGGAGCGCTGGTACTTTTCACTGTAATTTGATCCCATTTTTTTACAGTAGGTGCATTATTACGAGTTTTACATAAACCCATTTCGTGTTTCAGTTTCATTATACCTACGCTACTTTTAATTTAATTAAGGTTTACGAAGGTGGGCGAAAATTGATACCAAAAAAATAAATCACAATAATAATAAAAATTGAAAAAAGAAAAAGGAAACTAGCAAAACAGAATGAAAAATTCCAGTAAAAAATGTAAAATCTGTAATTTTGGCGGTACGGCAAAATAGTAAGTACGTCATCCAATAGTAAGTACCAATAGTAAGTACGTTACAAAATAGTACGTTATCCCTTCACTCTGTTCATTATTCATCATATATCATTAAATATAGTTTTATTCTAAACATTTGCAACTAAAAGAGTAGATTATCTTATTTTAAGCTTTTATTTTTAAATAATTAATATTTTAAAGAGCGCCTACGCAAATATTAAAATCAAAACGATTCTTAACCTTTGAGGTTAAAGAAAATATATCTCAAGAACGTTTCTAAAATAAAATAAAGTAATCGAAAAAAAACACATTTTTATATGGCTCTGCAGTAAAAAGTAATAAATATACTAATACGTGCAGTTAAAGTTAAAATTTATCTTATAATGCTTCAGAAGAACATTTTATAAGATTTTTAAAGAAAGCAGATTTAAAATCGGTGGTTTATTTGATGTTATAATTGTTATTCCAAAAGAGTAGATTTTTCATCTGTTTTCCTTAAAATGTTAATTAAAATTCTTGCAACTCATTTTAAGATAAACATTTATATAAATAGACATAATGTCTAGAAATTTAACAGAGACTAATACCAATTCACTTTTATAAGTTCCAATATCGAAATTCTTTCTTTTGCATGCAGAACCATAGTAATGTTTCTTTTTTTAAATCTTATAATAATTTCATTACTTACTAATTCATTTCAGAATTTAGGACTTTTAAAAAAATTGCGCTTTATATTTTTCCCAATATTTTCACCCCTATGTACATTTGGTACTGACAGTAAATTTCAATTTGAGGTCAAATGTATTTGAATTGCGTTTACAAATCTGCTTATCTACATAATAATTGATAGTAATTATTTCAATCGTCATTAAAATCTTTCATAGAAAAAACGCTATGACAAAATTGACCGTGCTTGCTACAGATTAATATAAATTAATGCCTAAGTCTTCGTTTCGATATAGAGGATTTTTAAAAATACTAACTAACGGTAAATGGAAAGCTTAAAAAACATTTTGTTTTTAAAAAAACACAGTAAACTAAACACATATTTATGAAAGAGATAATCATAACAACTAAAAGGAAAAAAGAAAAAAAAAACGACTTAACTGTTTTTGAATAAAGCTAAAGTACACTTTGTATTTATTCAATTTAAATTTTTTTTTTTTTGTGTAATTACAATTGTCTTAAGCAACTTTTTTGTTGCAGCTTTTTTTCCACATATTGTTTTTTTCTTGTTCTTTACGTTTTAAATAAGCAAGTTATTGAAATATTAATTATATTGCTCTTAAACTCTAAGTTAATTAATTATAATGCTCTTAACGCAATAAGAAATCAGAAACAAGACATTAAAATATAACTTAACTTCTTGAAAAAGCGCATAAAAAAGAAAGTTTTTTTTTTTAAGTAAAAAAAAGTTTGCTGTTTCAAACAGCGACGTCAATTTTCGACCTCGTAAAACTGCTTACTCCTCTGAAGTAGATTATTCACAGAGAAGCTAATATATAAATGTTCTTCATTCCAAAAAGAGTAGAACTCGATTATGTGGAACTTATCGCACTTCGCCATTCCTTCTTTTGCGATTAATTCAGTGCAAAAGTATTTTAAGTGCTTACGTTTGAATGTATAAGCTTCAAGAATAAACTTCATTTTTTTTCAACTCCGATAAATCAAATCGGAACGTCAACTTTCAACCTTGTAAAACTCTATTCTCCTTCAAAACTGATTATCCACGGCGAAGCTAATTTACATACTTTCTACGCTTCTAGAATAGAGTATGAGGAATAGAGTTACCGCCGTTTTTCTAAGTTGCTATTCGAATGGAATGTATTTTGTTTGCTTACGTCCGACATTAAAATTTACAAAAGATTCTCGATGCATCGTTGAGTTATCATCACTTTTTTTTCATGGTTGGAAAAAAAATCTATTAATTTTGATATATAGAGTTGAGTAGACATAGAACAGATTTTGATGTATGAAGTAGGAATCAAAGCTGTTGAGTCAGCTATTGAAATGTTAGACTCCACTCCGGATTCCCAAATCCTTAACTGCGATTCCGGTTTATACTCAATTAAAATTTCCAGCGAATCTCATTATTATTAAGAAAAATATTAATTTAAAATTATAAATTTAAATTTATAAATTTCTTTTTTTTATGTGCGATTCAAGTAAAGGGTGCTTAATTCAAAATTNATAAATTTAAAATTATAAATTTAAAATTATAAATTTAAAATTATAAATTTAAAATTATAAATTTAAAATTATAAATTTAAATTTATAAATTTTTTTATTTTTTATGTGCGATTCAAGTAAAGGGTGCTTAATTCAAAATTGCATTTTAAATTATACCGGTATGAGAAATAAAATTTTAAAGATATATTTGTACAAAATGCTAGGGAATATTCATGAATTAGAAAACTATTGCAAATTTATATCAATTCATTCGCCTACATTTTGATTACTGTAACAGCTTAGATAACTTATTAAAAATTCATTTATTAATATCAATATTTCAATGGGTGTAATAATTTCTTTTTAAGTAGTTCAGTCAAACAAAGCTCATAAATGTAATTAATTAAGTTTGTAATAAGTAATAATTTAAATATTTGTCATAATATTCTTTTAAGTAATATTTTTCTTTACATAATTATAAATGTTGTTCGAAATAATTTTTAATACAGCAGAAACATTTTTTTGCCTTTTGGCCTGCAGCAACAAACATTTACACTAATTAAATTAGTTTTCACTGAGACACATATTTAAAATTCGTTTAAAAAAGATTTTTTTCGTTTAAATTCTTTTTTTTTTTAGATGTATTATTATTAAAGAAATTTAAAACAATATTAACAAAATTGGTGAAGATTTTCTGAATAAGCGAATTTTTTACATTCTAAATTTTATGCAGTCATCTTTGATAGGTTTTCAAAAGATTGTTTTAAAGTTGGAAAAAAATTATCATTGTGAAAAAAGCTTTCAAAATTATAACATTACTTGCTGTTCAATAAAAGAAAAAAAAATTGTATACTAAACGTATTTCTCATTCTAACTAAGACAAAAATTAAGTATTTTTCGCTATGCAAAAAAGACTAAAAATTTAGTTACACCATTTGAAAATAATTAAAAAGCTTTAAAATTGTTTCCCTCGTTGTAAGATTCCCTCGGAAAAAGTTTTATTGAAGTACAGAACACTAAAATACACCTTATTTTTCGTTAGTTATAAGTAACATCTCAGCAAATGAAACTTAAAGCGTATCCTATTTGATTTGAAATTTTTATAAGAAATAAAACATTCAAAATTATGCGTGGATAATTTAACTGTTATTTGCTTGGCTATTTGATGAATGTAAAAATTGAAAATTATTTTTGCGACGATAATATGAAATTTAACGTTAAAAGTAGAATAATTTAACTGGCAAATGCAAAAAAAAATAATAACGTTCATTAAAAGCAATCAAGTCAATGTTTATCTTGATTCAGGAAAATATAAGCAAATTTCTGTATCATGGTAATGATACAGAAATTGATTGTTAACCATAAGAGTAAATTTTGCATTCCCAAATTATGTCTATATTTCAAAGTTAAATGATGGATTAAAATAAATTTTCAAAATTTCTGAGAGGTAAGGTCAATATAAAAATTCTTTTTTAAGAGAAATTAACGCATTTAAATTTTTGTATGCATTTTAAAATCTGAAATAAGAATTAAAAATGTTGCATTATATATTTTATTTTATGATTTATGTCAAATAGATATAAATTATTAAACAGATAATGAAAGCTAAATAGTACAATTTAATTAAAAGTATAAAGATTTTAACGATATTTAGTATTACAAAGTAAAATTTGAATTTCTTATTTGGAAAATTTTTCTAATTAGTTACGGTTAGTAAAAGTAATCAATAAAATATCATTCTTTATTATATTATGATTATAAATATATAGAAGTTTATTTTTTCATAATTAATATTCAAAAAAAATATCAAAGTATGCGCTGGCATATAGTATAACTTTATACTATAACTTAAAATATTATTTCATAACTTTTTATTAAGAAATTAATGTGGTTTTTTAACCAAATTTAAAAAAAAGTATTTTGTTTAACATCATAATAAAGTAAATTAATACAAAAATTTGATTTTAATTTTTAAAAATACGGATATTTTTTCAGATTAAATAAAATGATTTATAAAGAATAATTATACTCATGATTAAATCTTCATATTTAAATCCCATGATTACATCTTAAAACTCTATGCCATTCTTAATAAAAAGTGTTTAGATGGCGTGGTATTGTATGGTTGAGTTTTTTTTGTTGTTGACCTAAATAGAAATACATAACGAGAATAAGTTATTATTTGTTCTCTGTTAATAATGAAAGAGCAATTTATTCATGTGCATCTATGCATGTTTATGCGAATGCTTTCATCGCATTTACAAAAGGAGTATTCATGTAACTTAAAACCTTTTCAGAATTTCCCTCACTTTATAAGAACAGAAGCTGCATTCGAACAAGCAACAACCTTGAGAACAGTAGGAGGAAATAACTAATGATGTAAACTTGAATAACTTCAACTATTACTAATGAAGAGTGACGCAAAAATGACACAAAAACGAAAATCTTTCTGCAGGAATCACCCGGCATCCAGGGGATTTGAGTCAGAGCAGTGGGATATAGATAGCGAATCAGCCCTGCCTCTAATTTTAACTTCCCTCACACCGCTTTCAAGCAGAGCGCCTAAATGACGTCATGGGACAGACGTTTTTTATTTTTGGAACTTGTCCTGAAAAGGGCATGAAAAAGCTTCTTTTCTGCCGAGGAAGGATCGAGCACAGTCGCGTTGAACCATTTCGAGATATGGGATTTTTCTGTTCAGGAGTAGGTAGTCCAATCGTTGAATCCCATCGAAGATAGCGCAGCGCGCCACGTTTAAAACTGTTACTCAAAAGATGTTGTTTTGTTAGTGATTTCACGCTGAGCAGTTACCGCTGAATTTCATCGTAGATATCCCAGCAGTTTGTTTCGGGAGGATTGCAGAGATTGGTGAAGATTTTAAGCAACTGGATTCAGAGTTCGTGTTGGAATCAGAATTGGATTCAAAACAAATGCTATTCGGATGTGGTTTAGGAAAACTACTATACTATTAGTGACACGTAGAATTGGATTTTTGTGCAACAGGATTATGACAAGGAACTGCACGATGTTAACGGCAATTATAGTTAACTACTGCTTGAACACTCTAACAAATTGTTTATAAATTATGTGGTGATTTACAACGCTCATCAACAGATGGTATCCACAAAAATGTGACTTATATTTTTCAAAGCTATTGTATACAGTCTGCCTTTCACAATTTTATTCAAAAGATGGAATCATACGCTTTGCTACCGAAAAAAACATTTTTTCCCCTCATATTTTGTAAGAAGATGAAACTGATTATTTACTGTTATTTTACACTTAAACTGCTTTGATCAGGACAATTAAGTTTGAAATAATGGAATGTCTTTGAATGGAGTAGATTTATGGCTGACAATGAGATAAGTTAACTGGGACATTACATACCTTGGACTGTGACTCTGGCAGATGTAACCGCCTCTCCTAAGGGATTGACCGCTGTGCAAGTGTAGGTGTTTGGCCCAATCAAGCCAACATTGGATATCTCGAGTGTGCTGGTCTGGTCCTTAGTGATAATTTTGTACAGGCGAGAGGAATGGAGCGGAGCACCTTCTTTGTACCAGGTAAGTTTTGGAGTTGGTTGACCTGTTACTTTGCATTCCAAAACTGTCTTTTGATTTTCTTGAACAGTTTGGGATTTAGGTTGCTTCACAAACTTAGGAGGAGTTTGTTTTTCTTCCGGTTGTTTCGGTTGTTGCTGTTGTTTTTTTGGTGCTTTATCTTTAGATGGAACTTCTTCTTTAATCGGAGATTTTCCTGGAATTAAACATAATTTATTTCATTTGTTGAAAATATTTAAATTATATTTATTAATTTGACGTTTTTAACTTTAATTTTCTGACGAAAAAGTTCATTACGAAGAGAAATACCAATGAAGTTTTATGTTTTAATTTTATTGCATATTTTGCTTTAAAATATTTATTACCTGAATTATTAGCCTAGTATGTTTTATATTAAATAACTATAATAAAATTATAGAAAATTGCAAGAATAATACGTTTTTAAATTTTTGCAGCATGTTAAGATTGATTTTTCTAAAACTTGTTTATTTCTTAATTAAACAAATATAGAAGAGTATAACACATTACAAAGTAATGATATTCCGAATTGGGTAATAGAACAAATGCCTTAATTATATTTTTCCTAACCAGCAGAAAACTCGTTCATTTAGTTTAAAAAAGTAGTTTTATGAGTTTGATATTTTGAAAAAGTACGAAAAATATTTATAAGAACTTTAAATATTAATAAGAGGCTAAAAACATTATTTCAGGCTTTACTTCATACACAACTTGCTTGTATTAATTAAGCAAATTAATTTAAAAATTTGTTTTGTTTTATTGAATTATTATTTGCATTCATTGGGATCAATATCATAATATAAATGAAAAAATTATTGCGCATTTAATGGCATAAATTGATGTCTTAAATAAGTTAACCATTAATTTTTATACACTATACCTCAAAAAGAAAAACAATATATATATATCAATTTATTCATGTGCATCTATGCNTATATATATATATATATATATATATATATATATATATATATATATATATATATATATATATATATATATATATATATATATATATATATATATATATATATATATATATATATATATATATATATATATATATATATGTATATATATATATATATATATATATATATATATATATATATATATATATATAACTTTTTTTTACATTTTGTATTTTTACAAAAATTAGTAATTGTAAACATTGTAGCACCTAACTAATAAGTTTTAAAAAAAACGAATTCCCCTTGAATGTTAGAAAATTGACCAAATGTTTTGACATAATTATAGTAAAATTCAAGTAATGCATAGTTTGGACAATAAAAATGGAAATAAATAAATTTTCAACAAAATATGCTAATTTCTTTATTGTAACATACTCGATTTTATTTAATAGCATTAGTATTTTAAAGCATAATTTTATTTTAATATCATCAATATTTTTAAGCATAATTTTATTTTAATGTCTTTATTACTTTTAGGTATAATTTTATTTTAATACAATATAATTTATGTCAATATTTTAACTTAATTTATGTAAATTATCTAACTTTTCACATTTTAGTTATTTTAAAATACACATAAGTTTGAATGTTCAATAATAATTTTAAAAAACCAATAACAATTCTTTTCACTTTTTTATTGTAAGAGAAATATTACCTCTCTATTTCTTTCATTAGCAGAAATATTTAACAGTTTATAAAATTTTGAATAACTGGCAAAACGTTCTATGAAATATGTACTTTAATATGGCATTTAATAAAAATAAAACTTCCATGTACAAGAAAATTGTTTAATATAAAATATTCAGTATTACTAAGACAGAATTTTATTTTTTTTATTATTGTTTATGTAAAATATTTAGTTGAAGCAATATTTTTCATAAATTAGAAAGAACGATAACAAGTCAGTGGAAATCGATATAAATCTTCAAAAATATATTCTTAATATTTAATAATAATTTTTTTTGAAATATATAAAATTTAAATTAAGTATCAAGTAAACACATAGTAATCGGCAAAAAAGTATGTTCAATTTCTTTTGAAAAATAATAATGGTAAGCTAAAATTTTAGTTATAGCATCTTATCAAATCTAGAATTACACATTTAAGAACTAAGACTAACTAAAACAGAAAGATAAACATAAGATAATGAATCACTGGAATCTTAAAAAAAAGTAGAAATTGGGGTCGACATTTTTAACAGTTTCAACGGTTTTAACTCAAAAGAATGAAAGTAGAGCAGATCTAATCTTTCAAACACACGTGAAATCAGACACTCAAAATAGCTTTGTTAGCACTGGCACTCTATCAAAACCTGAACAGTAAGTCTATTGTTTAATCAAGACGGAGAGTGATATAATCTTTTTTATTTTGTCAACATGCCATGATACGGTCTGCAATTTTAACTAATTTATCAAGATAAGAATGAGAAATTCGGTTAAGTTTAAATTTGATTGTCCCTAATCCACGGTAATTTTAGAGAATGATTTGATTCGAGTGCTCCGTGATCAGGAACTTTTCTTACCGACCGAATTTAATTGCTCATTATTGCCGTAAAATTTATATTAATGATCTATATTTATAACAAAATGTTATATTAATATAACTATTTAGATTAATAATTGAATTATTAACTTGTGTGATACACATGTGGGAAATGAGAAATAATTTTTAAAATAATGCATCATCGTATTTATGTCTGATAATGAAGGATCATGACAGACTGCACAATTGAATATAAGTGTACTGCATTTGAAGTTATTATACTAAAAATGTATTGTATTTTACTTATTCACGAAACTAAGTGTCAGGTATTATACAATCCTGCAAACTCATAAAAATACTGTTTAAAATGCTTCTTTAAAATTTAACTATTTTTTACAGTATAATTTAACTAATTTTTGCAGCATAGTTAATACTATTCAATATTTTAGTATAAATAATATGAGCAGATTTTATTACTTTAACAAAGGATATTTAGGCAAGTAAATTCATGTAAAAATCATCAGTTATGAATTAAAACATAATTTATGCTAAAAAAAGCTGTACAATAATGCATTTCTTCAGACAAAATTCTAACTGTCAAATTAATTGTAATCATTAAATTTAAAATATTTTAATTCTTGATTATTTAGATGTTTTAGTTTAAATCACGTAGAAATTTTTTTAATTTAACTAAATATATTCAAATACAGAAACTTATAAAAAAGAATATATCTTTTTCAAAAATAGGATTTTTACTATAAAAACTAAATAGTAAAATATTAAATTCTTCCGAATAAGATTCGATAAATTAAGTTAATTTTACTATTTCATTCTCGTATTTTAAAGATAGAAATCTGATTTACAGAAAATTTAAATTAGCATACTGAAAAATTACGATTTAGTTACAACAAACAACTCAAGTAAAAAATCGTAATTATTTTCAAGTACGTATAATAATCAAATAATTTGCATGCATTAAAATAATATTAATTTTTAATTTTATAACAATTTCAATATGCTTACAAAGGTAAAGCAAAAAGTAATTCTAAAAAAATCACAAGAAAAACACGCTTAAATTGTTTCAATGCGTAGAAAATAGAGAAGGATTACTAGTTAATTAATTACTTGTTTGGTTTGTTTAACATTAACAATAATTTTGGGGTTTTATTTCATTTCAGCGCAACTAAAGTCCAAGGAAGAAAGTGCTTTCATTAATGATTCAAATAAAAATTCAGAGGTAAGTAGAAATAATTGTATTGTACGTGAAATTAAAAATTATTTAAAAATTTAATATTAATTTCAATTACTTTTGGAAAGCTATTTATTTCATTTGAATAAATAAACAACAGTAAAATTTTCATTTTAAAGTCTTTACTTAAAAGTATCTATCATTGCATTAACTTAAGTTGAAATTTAATTAAATTATAATATTTAATAAATCAAATTTTCAATAATAGTTTTAATTTTTAATTAATTATATTCGTAAATTAACTAAATAAAATTTTAAAACCTATTGCTCTGTCAAATATTTTTAGTGATTTGAAAAATCAATAAATATTAAAACTCATTCCTACATCTTTCCTAATTTCAAAGTATTAGTTTTTTTCAAAAAAAATTTTTTATAGTAATTTAAGTACTGAAATAACCGATTACACTTTCAATTTTGTTCAAATATTGAACTTTTTTTAAACTTTATACATATATTGTGCATTGGAAATATGGAAAATGAATTAAGTCTGAGCTGGCATGGGTGTATACATCTGTTCTTCTAATCATGTAAAGTGCATATTGAATAATAAAGAAATCTTTGATACATTTTAGTTTTGTTTCTTGTTTGTCTTGTTTTAACATTTAAAATTATATGCATTAAAAGCAATGAACGCAACAATGCCAATACGATACATATATTTAATATTTGTTTTCGAAAATAATAGTTACTGATATTCTTTTTCTTCATTTTAACACGTTTTTTTTTGTGTGAGTTAATTGTCTCCCTTTTTTTTACAAATTTTAAATAAACATTATGAAAATAATTTCAAGGAAAATCAGAGAAAAAATTAGTTTATGGAATACATTTTTTTCTGACATATTGTACAATTTATTTATAAATCATAAATATGATACAACTTAAAATTCTTTAAAATTTAAATTCCGAGTTCATTTTAAGTCATACTTTGAAATAAAAAATCAATTAAGCAAATTCATATTTATTATCTGGGGTGGAAATTATTAAATTATTTGTCGACCTTTACTACCAAAATACAGTTTAAAATTTCGTTTTACTATAAATCACAGACACATTCGTTTAACAAAATAAATACTATCAACTATGCGTCACAATACTATCAAGTATGCGTCACATCAATTTTTAAATTGTATAAGTGGTAATTTTTTTCTGGGATTAGAGCATAAAATACACTCGATATATATAATAATAAGAATTTAAAATATTTAGATAATATTGAAACTTTAAAAAAATCTATTAAAATATGCTTATTTAAAGACTATAAATTGATAAAAAAGACTGTTAAAAAAAATTGTTGAGGAAACTGAAACAAATACATAATAACTGGTAAGTTTGTATTTTTGTACCGTAAAATAAAAATAATTTTTTCATCCTGTTAATTTTAGAAACAGAAGAAAATTTTTAAACAGAGAATCTTAAGCAGAATTATTAATGAATAAAATAGTTTAAAACAATCTTTTGATACAAGTCTTTTAGGTTTATACTAAATATAAATCTAACTAAGTCGAAATTATAAATATTTAATAATACTTTAGATATTTCGTATTCGTTGAATGATTAGCGAACAAACATTCTAATTATGAGAAAATTGGTTAAAACAATCGAAAATTAATAATGTAACTATATCGAGAAAAGAACTCTATTTTACTTTCTCAAGAGAGTCATAATAATACAATATAGAGGTATAAATATAATCTTTCACTTTTATTTAAATCTCATATATAATATAGAATGTAAATTATTTTTGTAAAATTATTTAACGAAATAAAATGTCTCCTACCTAGTATAACTATGTAGTAAGCCAGTAATGTTTTTTTTCTTATTTTCTACATGGCATAATTTGAATATTTATTTTCGAATTTTTAAATATCGTGATTTACATGGTATGATATTTTCTCTCACTTTCAACGGTGTTAATTTAAATTTCAGTGAAATTAAAATCGTATGTGGTTTCTTTTTTTATACACCTTTAGTTTTTAAACTATTTATAAAACCAGCTTTTCTGTTGATTTTTTTCACCACTGTTCACTTTTTTGGCACAAATTTTACATTTTTACAAATTATCAAATATTACTATGATTTTTACTTGTAATGATCTTCACATTACCATGATCTTCACATTTTAATGCAGAATAATCCATAATTCTATTATTCACCAAAAGATTATTTTTCTTTCACTAAGTATGCACTCAAAATATAAATGCATCTGTATCATTATCATAGAATTATTAAAATCAAGATGACGACGAAACATCAAAGGACGTTTCACCAGAGCTGTTGCCATAAATAACGTACAAAACATAAAACATCACAAATCATAAATTATATGCAAAAAAAGCTAGAAATAATGACAGAATCAGTAAAATGTTCTGTAAAATTCAAATTTTAATAGCAGTTCTTCGTTGTACAATACAATAACAGCAGGTTTGAGAACGACAACATTTAATAAAATCTTGACATCAAAACATGAAACAAATTATAAGTCCTACAAATTTCTTTTTAAAAATAATTTCTACAATTTATGGTTTTTGTTGGACATCGTAGTTTGCAAACGAAATTCGAAACTTCTTCTCCAAGAACCATAATTGGCAAGAAGCCTGAGTCTATTTTTAGCACAACCGGTGAGTGAGGATTCGAAGATGGCCGGGAGTTCTGGTAAGCTTCACGAGCTATCTTCTTCTGCAGCATTTTGACAAGCATTCATTTTTTTTTCAACACTAGCGTTTTTTGTTTTTGTTTTGACAACATAGATTTAGCTTGACAATCAAAACATTAGTACAACAAATTTGCTCCCAAACGAAAGTATTTTTTTTATCGCTTTCGCAAAAGCAAAAATAAAGAAGCAATCACCTTGATCCTTATTAGTGAAATAACATTTTAACCCTTTGAAGCAGATGGGACAGCGGTGCCTCTTTTATATATTTTTTTCTATTTTAGTATTTTCATAAAAATAAAAAAAAGTCCACTAGTGACTAAAAATGTTAAACTATCAGAATTATATTTGTATTAAAATATAAAATCCAAAAAATGTAGTTCGAAAAAAAAAAGTTTTTTTTTTCATATTCGAAAATTTATTAATCACTGATTTTGAAATTTAAAGAAATTTCAATGATGAAATGATGTTTAGCTTAGATATAAATTACTTCAAATTTGAATAATTATTGTTTGGAAGAGAGCCGTGTTTGGAAAATTTTACCTTTAACGTAGAAAAAGACACCGGTGTTTCATGATTTGTTTCATGATTTGAATCATAAATTGTTAAAATTCTAAATATAAAATTTTTCACTTATTTTGATCTAAATTAATGCAAATAAAGAAAAATATGGTTATTAAAAATTCTGCGTCAAAGGGTTAATGCATATATAGATACGTACGAATTTTTCCTTAAAAAAATTATAAAAATATTAAAGGTTTTATGGATAATAAGAATTTTATAGCAATTGAAATTTTAATTAATTAAGGTGAAAACATTCTTTCAAATCAAATACTAAAGAGCGCTATGTTAGTGTTACTAAAACAACATAAATTCAAATCATGTGAGCGATGCTGTTGATAAAAAACTTAATATATTTACTTTTAGAAAAAATGTTATTTGAATAATAATAATAAAAAGAAAAACCTTAAGACAATTTTTGTAAAAAAAGTCTTCTAAATTAATATTACAAAAAATAATTACTGTAATTTTATTTTAAATGCTCCGATAAACCTTATGTATATAAAAACTGATAATCAACAGAATATAAAGTAATTGAATATATAACAGCACATTTGAGTTAAAATTGTCAAAGCTGATTTGAAAAAGTATGCAAACGTTAATATTTGCCTTATAAACCAACACACGCTTTATGATTGCGACAAAAACAAATAATGCTTCATAAATATATACAGTTTAAAAGTAATTTTTGATTTAATTTTAAAGGGGCGTAAAAATAGAGAAGGGAAATCGATGGATGCACAGTCCTAACGCTTACTTTCAATTGTCAAGCGTGCAGATGTTTCAGATTGACCACTAGCATTGGTGGCCCGGCAAGTATAAACACCTTCGTCCTCCCGATATGTTTGCTTTATTACCAAAGAACACGAGCCTCCGTCTTGGAACATCTGTAAAAAAACAGGCGTAATTAAATATCATTGTGAACATATATTTTAGTTGTACCTAAATCTTTGTAAGAATAATATAGTATTTTACCGTGCTAAAACACATAAATTTATACAGTTTGATTACAAAAAAGCTATAATAAATTTAAATTTAAATGTGAAATATTCTGGAGTATAAGGAAAAAGTGGCATAATTTAAAAATCCAGAATGCAAAAAGCACACATATTTTTATCACTATCGAGTCAAAAATAATAATAATAATAAAAGAAGCAGAAACATGGTTGCTCATCTTCAGGGCTGTAGCTCATCTATCCAGATCTTTAGCTTCATTTCTGTAGTCTCTCGTCTTCTAATGTCGCGTGACTAAGACAGGAGGCGGACTTGCTGACTACTTAGATGCGCATTTCGTTTATTGATACTGGCATGGTAGACGGCCAAGCTTTTAGCCAGGTGATTCATAGTATTTTATAGTGGCGCACTTCACATGCATAGTATAAAGTTGAGAAGATTAAAGAAAATATTTAAAATTTAGAAAAAGCAACATTTACTTAGTTGTATATTCAATCTAATCTTAATGTAGAGTCACATGCGTGCCTAAAATATAAATATTTAAGGGCTATGGCTACCAGAAAATCTGTGGAAATTTATTTCCAATTAATTTTTTTTTCAAATACAACACTTAAAAATTAGCTTTTAAATTTTCTAACGATTAAGTTACACTGATTAAAAAGAGTGTAATATATATTTTAAAAGGAAGCCACATAACTAAATGTCTTATCAAATTTTATGTGTCACGTTACTCTAATGCAACTTATCAGTGAAATTATCTATCGAAGAGTAAGTTATGTACTATGTTAGTATGTAATAATATGTAGTCCACTAACAAATACTTTAAAATTCATCAGTTTCCCTCAATTTCAGTGATTTTTTTTTCAATGTTCATGCTTTTAACCACCAGCATCATGCCACTGATTTTAAAATGCGTGTGCCAATGGTGCGGTCTACTTAAAGGAGCTGGCCGTTTAAATTAACAATACAAACTGATATGCAACAAATATCTACGGTAAAATTCTACGAAATAAAAAATCTGAAGTACGTAATTTTTACAGCAATGTAATTAAATAAATATTGCACTTCGTACTTGGTATTTTAATTCACGTCACACTAGAACGGCAAATAAATATATATGGTAAAAATGGTTTTTACGGTTGATTTTATTTCATTTACACATTTGAGTTAAGTTGATTTACGATATGCTATATTACCTTTAGAAAACTAAATCTATTTAAATAAAAAGAACTTTGGATTTTAAAAAAATGTGTAATTTTTCATCTAGGGAGAAATGCCAATAAAAAATAATCAGTGCATTTCTATAATAATTATACACTGAGTAAAAAAGTATGTTCAAATCTACTAGACTCTGGTTAAATTTATCGTGTTCTTGGCTCTATGGTAACGCTAAATAGCTGAGTAAATTTCACTGATAATTGCTTTGATAATTATTTTGATAAAATTAGCAATAACTGTTTCATAATGAGTGATAAAATTTGGTAAATGTCTTAAAATTACCACAATACCTTAGAGCCTACTAAACCTTATAATAATGCCGAGCTTGATAATTTATCACGATACAATTTATTCGGTTACATTTCTTTTTCAGTTTTATATTTTTCAGTAAATGTACGGTATTAAGAACTGTAATTAAAAAAAAAAAAAAAAAAAAACAGGTATAAAACTCCAGTAAGTTTCTAGTAAATCGTAACCGTATGAAAGGCAAAACTAAATCGCGCATATTTTAGTTTCTTAACATAAATTAATTTTTTAACAAAAATTTCATTACCATAACGGTTAGTTATTTTACCAGAATTTCTTACTCCGTGTTTACAACTTTCACTGAAATTGCTAAAGGTTAGCTAATTTATGTAATAAGATTTTCGTATTATTTAAACACTAACCAAACTAACTATAATTTTATTAACTATTCTAGATTTAGATGCTTGGAAAGAAACAGGAGGAAATTAATCCAAACAAAATCTCGGTTTGAGCCGACCGAACTTTGTAGGGGTTAGAAAAATGAACTTGCATCAAAAAGGTTCTAAGTTCGAAACCCGGGCAAGACATGGATATTTTGACATTCTCTGTACTATCTGCCCTTACTGTGGGAGCAACGTTTTCTCACCTAACATGGTGCCCCTGAAAGAGTAGCGAACAAATCTGCCCTAATACGCTGGAATTGACGAAAGTCAACCCAGATGAGCATTGAAAAAAAAAATCTCTATTTGACCATCTCTATTTTTTTGAAAGCACATTAATGTTCAGTTTGTGAAAGTTTTTCTATCGCATGTAATTTATTTTAATTTAACTTCCTAATAGTTTGGTCATTAGACAGCCTTACAGTGATTGCTGAAAGTTCTGAAATTTTTAATTGCGTCTCTAACAAAAAGTGAATCTTTAATAATATTTTTTTTCAGAAGCGTAATTAGTGTTTTCTTTTCGAAAGTTTCTCGATTGAATTTCATTTATTTCAATTTAAAACTTTTATTTCAAAAATTTACTATTGACTAAAAAAATAATTTCTAAAAGATTAATTAGTCTTAGAAATTTTAATAATTGATTTAAATTCTTAAGATTTAACACAAAAACTCATTTCAAATGTGTTTAATTTAATAGCAAGCAAAAGGAGTATGGTTTGCATAGCAAACCATATAAGATTGCACAGCAATCTTGGGCAGCGTCAGAGAACAGCGGGTGGTGACTACTAGCAATAATTAAAATTTTAAATTGATTACGCAAAAGTGCTGCAAAAAAACTTTAAAGAAATATTTTGATAAATGTAACGTATATGAAATATTATGCGTTTTAAAAATAATACAGCTAAAGAGATAATAAAGAGTGATTAATGTTAAAAAACATTTTATAACATATTCCAAGAAAATATTGAAGTTTTTATGTTGAAATATATCTGTATGTTCAATAATTCCATCAATTTTTAAAAGTTTAATTTAGTGTATCCTTAAAAGATTCAATTATTTCTTTTTATTAATTTGAACTAAAACAGTCAAACAAAAAACAAAACAGTGTGATCAAAATCATATCAAAATTAAGTAAATTGCTTAAAATAAAACTATTTAGTATAAGAACTGTGATAATAAATTAATAAAAGAAATATCATAAATAGTTTAATAGAAGAAATTTTTGTTACAAGAGTTTTTTTTCTTTTCACAATGGAACCATTTTTTCCAAAAGAACGAATTATGAATACAGCGACCAGTATAAGAAAATAATAATGGAAATAACAGACTCAGATTTTAATAGCAAGAGATTTTTTTATAAAAAAGGGAAAGCTAAATCTAAATGTTCATTAAGATTTAGGTTTTAGTCAAAATTCCAAGGAAATTAAGGAATACTTTGTCAAAAACAGACTGACTTAAAGTGGTTATAAAACCTTCTGAAATTGAAAACCATAAAAATATATGGATACAAGCAAAAAAACAAAGAATTAGAAAAAAAAAAGATTTCAAAACGAAAAATTGTATTCCTATAAAAATAGTTGATTACAAAATGTGTAAACTTGGTATAATCTACACCAAAAAAAGTGAAATTGGCTCTGAAGGAAAAAGTAATTATTAATTAACAACAAAATATTTCTATATTCCCTGTAAATAATAACTTATATTTGCATTTCTGAAATATAAAGCGATATATTTCCTCTAATAATTAATTGCCTGTTACAGATAAGAATGTCTTGAAACAGCCTTCTAAATTTTTATAATAGGGTCTACTAATTATATTCTTAATTTTGTTTATTAATTTGCTTGTTTTACCATGTCGAAAGTTGCTGTAAGTTTATTATCAATGCACATTGAGAAAAATAAACAGTAAAGTATTAACATCTTTATTTACTAAAATTGCACAGAAAAAAGGAACATCCAGCACGAAGACAGTCCAGAAAATTTTTTGAGACGGAAAAATTTTTTAGCAATTTTTTAAAGAGATAAAAAGTAATAGCAATGATTTTTTTAATATTTTTTAAGTGTCCAAAACAAAAGAAAAGCCCGAGACAATACCCTGTCCTCATGTCAACAAATTCAAATTACAAGTGAATGCGTACTTACTAACCTACGTTTAGGAAAATGGGAAGAGTTCCAAAATTTAGAAGAGTTTTTGATGGATAATACAGCCAAAATTAAAGGCAAACCCGCTTTATTAACCTTAAATTTTAAATAACCTGGCTGGTAATTATTCATCAAAAATACCGCAAGCATTTAAGTTAACCTGGTAACTAAAATATGTTTTGTGGTAAAAGAATAAAGCAGCTTGAAGAGAGTAAGGTTAAAAAATAGATGAATACTATACTTGTAGTGAATAAAAAGTTAGCCGTTTACATTGTTATGAAAAGAATAAAAGTATTAAAAAAATTTTTATAAAATTATTTAAATATTAAATAATTACTTTTTCATTTAATTATTATTGGATTAGGAATGATTAAAAAAATTAAATTTCTCAATTGTAAGAAATTTAAAAGCTAGAAAATATGTAACACTTATACTGACATCAGATTATACTTCTAACACGAATTTACCAAGTTATTGCTTTTAAAATGATTAAAAATTGAATGGTTAAACGTTACCTGAAAATCGCGGCTAGCCTTGACAATTGTTCCTTCTCTAAACCAAGTTATTTTGGGGGTTGGGGTTCCAGTCACCGCAGTTACGAATCGAGCAGGAGATCCTTCAGGTACTGTTAAGTCAGCTAAGGGACTTAATGACGGCGGTACTTCAGTTACTTCAGGAACTATAAAGAAAATATTTCTTTAATATTCAAATACAATAAATTTGTACATAAATGATTTTAAGACAATTCACGATTAAACAGAAGGAAATTCGGGATTTTATAAGTTTTGATGTGGGTGATTTTTAAAAGAATTTACAAATAAGCATTTAAAATATGATAAATGCTCAACATTTCCTGTAGTGACCACCCTAAACGTAAGTGTTCGTAATAAAGCTATACCTGTTGAGGGGCCACAAATTAGCATTTATTATTATTTATTATTAGCATTTATTATTTATTATTATTAGCAGAAAGAACGAAAACGTATTTGAGATCTGACTAATGATCATTGAGATCAAAAGACCGAAAATGTCCTTAATGAAAATATTTCTTAAATTTTTCTTAAATATATTGATTTATCTAACAGCTCAAAGAAAATTATTATAAATACAATTTGCTCTCTAACCGCCGTCTTTAATATGTTTATTTTAGTAAACTTACTTTTACTTAACTAACTAACTTAGGTTAAAAATTAAAATTTAAGCGAAAAAGCAAAACAAAATCGTTATCAAAGTCAAACGAAATATTATTCAGCAAAACGGGTTTGAAAATTTTTAAAAAATAGCTTGACCGGCAGAGGAAAACAAAAAGAAAGTAATATGAGATTAGAAAAAAACACCGTTAAGTTTTTCGAGACAAAAAAAAAACCTTGCTGTTCTCGAAAATGCTTCATCAAATTTTGATCAGACTTTGATAAAACTAAATATAATTATTATTTTCTTTAAAACTTTCTTAATGAAACGGTTTCTCAAACTATATATTTTGGATATTAAGTACTGAGCACTCTGTATAATTAAAAATACTCAGCACTAAGAGGAAAAGATAAATGGGATTGTTTTATTATAATGTATTTACTCACCAACAACTTTGAGGTTGGCACTGGTGGATGCTGTTCCTGCAGTGTTGGTTGCAACACACTTGTAAGTTCCTTCATCCTCTGGGAAAGCTTCAGATATACGAAGGGTGTAAACATCATTTTCCACTGACATACGGAAATATCGAGACTGCTTCACAACAATTTCTCCCCTGAACCACTTCACTTGAGGAGCTGGAAAAATAAATCGAAAAAAAAAAATTAAAGGAAGGGTATACACAAACTAAAATAGAAAATTCACTTGTTCATAAATTCTTTTGAAAAGATTATAACAAATAAAAAAGTGTTATTTGAGTAATTTAGTAATTTACTGACATAACAGTCCGGAAATAAACATTTATTTATTTAATGATGTTATAATCTAAGAGGCACTCATTTGAAGAGCTAGGAAAATAAATTGGGAAAAAAATAGCATGAATGAAAGGACATGCAGAAACTAAAACAGAAAATTCGCTCGTTCATTAATTATATATATTCTTTTTAAAAGATTATAAAAAAATGTTATTTGAGTATTTTAATAATTTCTGACATCAAAGTTCGGAAACAAATATTTAATTATTTAATGATGTTATAATCTAGGGGGCACTCACTTGAGGAGCTAAGAATATGAACAGGAAAAAAAAAAGTATTAAAGAAAGGGCATACAAAAACAAAAATAGAAAACTCGCAACTCGTTCATAAATTAAAACTCTTTTTAAAAGATAATAACAAATTTTAAAAAAATGCCATTTGAGTAATTTAATAATTACTGACATAGAAATCCGGAAACAAATATTTATTTAATGTTATTAACTAGGATTATAACATTGATTAGCTTTATAATACATGAATAATGTTATGATTAGCTTTTGAGAGTGTAGTTTAGTCAAAAAAACTTTATTTCGCTTTATATAACTTTTTTGCTAAATTATTAAGAAAAATATAATTAAAAATATCATCAACATTAATATTGTTTAAAAATAGTGAATAGAGATTAAATTTAAAATTTATTAGTTTATAATCTTATTTAACTGAAATATGAGGGACTTAATAAAAAATAAGTATATTTATGTATGGGTGATTCTTAGGGAACATGACAATTCGAATCAAAAAATTTCTTCAAATTTAAAGTCTTCAAAACAATCTAAATTTTTTTCTATATTTATTTAGTTCCATTTATTAATATCTTACAAATAGCAGTGCAGTTTATTGACATTTGATCAAGAAAAAATAAAATAGAAATCCACCATATATTAAATGCCAGGAAAATGACATATTAGCTTAGAAGTTTGAAAAAACAGTCATTTTAAGCTATTAGTAAGTAACAAAACCTAAGCCTTTATGTTAGATGGATCATGAATAACTTAAATGAATTCTTTTATCTTCTCCAGAAAGAATCAAAAAAGTTTTTGTTGCTGTTATGTACAGAATAAAATTGTATAAAATAATCAATCATTAAATAAATAAATAACTTTGATTACATTCAATCTTATTACAGTCATACGTAAACTTGGTATTAGGTTAATATTTGCTTTCCCTCTTTACAGTATTAGCAGTTAAAAAAAATTTCTGGTAACACTTCAATGACCTGGCATTCATAAGCCAGGAAAATGACAACCAGGATAATGACAAATTCGCCATTTTATAGCATATAACTTTACTTCAATTTAATATTTTGGCCTAAGACGTTTATATTCTGCAAAAAACAACAGAATTTCTTAAAATAATTCAGATAAATCTATGTAGTTTATGCTATTAATGATTTCAAGAAGCAAGGAAAATGACAGCACAAAAACCTACTCATCTTGAAAAAATTTTTGAATTAGATTTTGAACCAGAAAGTTGGTTCTTTATTCATGCAACAAGACATGTTCAGATAGGAGGGTATTTAATCAATCTATTAACATAAGTTATTGATT